ATGCTGTGAGATTAGGTTGTTCGAGATGGATAATTTATATTCTAACAAAAGTACTTGATAAGACACTTGTTGTCTGAGTTTTTAATATTTACGTTAATATGCTATCAACGTAACTGGGAACCACACTCTTGACTACGTTAAACAGATAAATAACAAATCACCGGAAACTATAAATTACATATAATTTTACCTGAGAACTGTTGCTAATTGAAGTTTCTAAGTATAGTTGCATCTTTTAGATCAATATATTGTTTTAACGTAAAGATGAATAAACAAGAACCACGTAATTAAATATTGAAGATTAGTTTTAAAAATATTTAAAAAACCATAAGGAATAAAATAATTAATGTTTAAATAAGCGATTTACAGGATGTAATTGCATGATAATAACTGAATTAATTATGAGCGTTTTATTAAATGAACGTACATATGCAAGACTGTTGTAATATTTTAATTACTTAATTTTTAAAAACATTTGTAATTGTGATAGCAATATTTTATTACTTCATACTTATATTACAGAAAGAAAGGAATGTTTGATGATGTCAGAATAGGTTTTATTAAGAATAAGTTTTTCTTTATAATTTTTGATTAAGGTTCAGGATTGATTTCTATATAGTATAAAAGTAAAAATGTGTTACACACATTTTTGTATTAAATCCTAATCTCTATAGTTGAAAAATGATGGTCAATTATTCAGCTTGAGGTAGTCCAATCGTTTTTGTTGTTAAAAAGCATGGTCGTCTAAGATTTGCCACGTAATAATAAAAAATTATGTACAGTCTAACATTTCTAAACATTGTAACAATTATTTTAAAAAGTTGTTCTAAGACGTTTAAGAAATCAGGCGTTAGACGAACATTATCAAACATTAACCCTTAATTAAATAAATAATCTGAAACAATCTCAGAAAAACATATTATGACGATGTAATTAAATCTAATGTGAAACTTTAAGGGACTAGGGACATCATTAACTTTGAAGATGCAGAATACCATTTCTATTTTTGTTACGAGACCGTCATGCCACATCTTATCACAGACTTGAGAAACATCCAAGAAAACAGCAATGATGTAGTTTTTATATTGCAAGCTATCTATTATAGTTCTTTCAACCATCTATCTTTTCCATAGTGCCATGCTGCTCTCAAATGATTTGATATTAACTTCTTCCTCGGTACAATATCCGACAGTTACCTTTTACCACAGCATTGAGGATGTAAAGGATTTACGTATGAGGTTCATCTAGAATTTGCTTCTGTATTATGCTGGTTTTGGTCATTTTTTGGTCTTAATCAATAAATAATGTTCTTGATTTCGAAAATATTCTCTCTTTTGATTGGAAGGTAATTTTATGATTGGTTATGAGCAATTGCTATTTAGTATTTGGAATAAATATATTTTGTTAATGTTCAGCAAAGATATTTAATACTTTTTCTAGTTGGTTTCTTGTCTTTCTTCGTCTTTCTTCCTTATAGCCATATTTGTTTATTATGTTGTTTCAAATAGAGTTATTTTTACCAGCTGTGAGGTGCAGATTCTTTAAGAAGTTTTGGGTACTTGTGTTTTTATGTGTCTGTAATGATTCTTTCAGTTGTCGTGAAGTTGTATTTAATTTACTTGTATTTCTGGAGCCCAGGCTTGTTATACTTGAGATAAGATTAGGTACTTAGTCCAGGTCTGAGAGCCAACATGATGACTAACATGTTCACCTTATTATCCAAAATAGTTATGTAAAAATTCTATCGTCTGGTGGTTATGAGTCTGGATCTCCAGAAATGATGAGAATCAAAAGAAAACGACATACCAGCAATTTGAAAATACTGGGCGTCAATTATAGACATTCCAAGATAGCAATGATTAATGTTACTTTTTATTAAGACTACCAACTTGTAGGACTTGTAAGACATGCTTCATACATGCTTACAAAATAAGCTTCCAATGATAACTGTATGAAAAGAACTGAAGAAGAAATTTTCATTAATGTAAATTCAGATGTCTTCTTATTGTTTCCGTGTATAGTTTTAGTTGGCGCTTGTGTTTTAATCATTTTAACTAAATGTGTTTATAATGTTCATATTTATATTTATTAATACAATAATATTATTATTTATAATAATTCGAATAACAAATTTTATCATCTTCTCTTATTATATCACAACAAACTTATAGAATTTGTATTTTTAATCAAACGTTTTCGATGAACCCAAAATTTACGTGATCGTTTCTACTATTCATTCCATTACAATTTGTATTATTATTGCTGTTATTAATTGCATCCTCCAGATCTGTATAAACACTATTTGCATAATTTGTTTGTCCATTATTTTTTCTGTGGGAATGATTATGTTTTTGAAAGAATTTTTTGGTTAATTTGACTGGATCTGTTTGCGTATTATCCTGAAAATAATAAATATCAAAATATATTTGTTATTTATTATTTAATTCACTTACTTTGCATAGTGTTAATTTTGTGTTACTCATAATTTGAGCGAAGGTTCCAAAACGATGGATAAAAAATGCAATTATTTGAATCGTGAAAAGTAACAGCGTAAAAACTACAAGAATAGTATTAATAAGTTCTAATTCGTAGCTTTCCCCGTTTGAGATAAATTTAAATGGCCATGGTATGGTTATATTTTGTGATGTCAATAGAAACACCACCGATATAAACATACTATTCACAATAAAAAGAGTACTAATAACATTTTCTTGAAGATTTTTCAAATCATCCATGATTCTATCTTTATCTTTAGTGTTATCGAGTGGATAAAGATATTTCTCAAGAATTTGAGTCCAAAATAAATTTTCTTCGTCTGAGAGACTTCCTAAATCTCCATATTTTAAATCGTGATCATCGAACCACGATTTTTCCGATACATCTTCAAGTATTGTTTCTTTATTTACTTCTCGCGTTCCCCACGATACTTTGTGCATATTAAATACGGAGTATATATATAAAATTATGAGCATCGTCGGAATCATTATGTAATAAATAGGTAAATATTTCAAGTAGTAGATTTCTTGTGGATGACATAATGTTATTATCAATATTTGAATTAGGAAGATAAAGAAGAAAAGTGTCCATGGAGTTGTAAATCCCATACTCAATAACTCAAACAACCCATTGACAAAGTATGCGCACATTAATGGTGAGTAAATTCCACATAAAATAATAGCAAGTTGTATCTTAAAAAAATTAGGTTCAATTAATTTTTTATATTTTAATAACTTTATAGGTAGATTTTTACTTGAGATTTCTACTTAACAACTTATCTCTTGGCGAGCTAAGTCTCCAGATCATTTTAATCTCAAATAGTCATCACCATTATTAATATGATGTAATAATGTATTTCTAATAATACAAACCTGAACTTTTTCACTTTTTACATATGCGCAAACTGCGATGTATATCAAAACTAGAATCAAGTTTATAACTAAACTTAAACTTGCTTTACATATTACACAGCCAATTAAAACTACAAAAAACGTAATGATACATATCAAAAGTTTGGTAACTTTTTGGACCCCTTTCCATTTATCATTTCCTTGATCTGAATCGGTATCCAATAATTCTAAGGGATCCTCAAATACATCCCATTTATCATCATTTCGACCACTGCGAAAAGATATATTGTTTAAAGATTTATTTTATGTTAGAATATTGTTCCCACTTACGCTTGATTTGAAGAATGAAAATGATAAGTCATCTTCTAACAAGAAAGTCAATCGCAATTTGTCTACCACTATAACATTTCTGTACTTATATATCCTATCAATAATTGATAAAATCCGATTCTAAAGTAATAAAAGTATATCAATCAATACCCTAATATTCTAACTGGTAATCTTGATCTGTATAAACACCTTGAACTATTTATTAATAAATTACGCCTGAAAAATAATGATAAGAAGACAAGTGGTGTTAGAACAGCTTAAATGATCAAACGTTTTTTGTTATGTAAACGTATTTTAAATAAAACAGTAACACGCGTAGGTATCATGATCTACGACAAAGGACGCCGAGTACTCTTAATTTTATTACATAATTTCTAAAAATATTTTATTAGATCAAAAATGATAATGACTGATGAAGCAATAGTTTCGGTCTAAAGCCCTAAATCATCAAGTTATGAGCAATTTGGAACTTAATTACGGCATACACATTAAGAAGTCAATTTTGTGACTTATTTTTCACTTAAAGCAGTATTGTTTGTTTTAGTTTCTTTTGGTATTCTTTTATAATAAACGGATTCCGTATTCATGCCTTACTTTTATTACGAATGGGAGAGTTTTTTCTGAAAGCAGTCTGAAAATTTTGTAAACTGCTCATAATTAGTATTTATAAGAATAAGTATTTCTAAAAACGCAGAAATTTTGAAATGATTTCACTTTAGAGTCGATTATCCTGTAATTCTAGTGTCAAAATAGTTACTTCAATTTTGTATTAAACCTGGAAACAATTTATATTTCCTCCTTATAATATTATGTTCAAATCATTAAGACTATTAAATGGCATACATTTTGTGGAGATATCTTTTCAAAACTAAACATGGATCTCCATTAAGAACATCTTCTCGTAATTGGGTTGCTTCCAAAATCGCTCTAGTACTTCATCTTTCGTAAGCCATGATGCATTAAAAGTTTGCATTTTCCATTTTTATGCACAATGTTCTTTGCATGCTGCACATTCACAGGAATTCTTTGGGTAACCAATGCTTCTCGATGAATGGCACAGTGATTCCACTCTGTAGATATGAACATATACGAACTTTTCTGACACTCTGCTTTTTAATATTACTTTCTGCTAATACAACAGCATGACTTTAAGCAGAAAAATCTTGATTTTTCGGATAGTGCAATTGATGTCCATGACGACCCAACACCACACGATGATTGTATGAAGTGGCAACTAGAATGAGTAACCAACTCAAACAAACAAATTTTCACATATAATGCAGAAAATATTTTATTACAAATAAATTAAACAAATTTATATGATTTTAAAATAAACACTTTATTTAAAATTAAACTTAATTGTAAATTAATAAATTATTTATTACATTTAATACAACTACGTCACGAATCGTCAAGAATTTGCGTAAGTTCTGCTGGTTTTAAGTATACTTTTGCTACGTATGTTTGAATTAAGATTTGACACTGTACTAATTTTGCTGGTGTCTAGTTTTGCCACAGAGGACTTTGAAAAATCTAAAAAAATAATCAAATAAGTAAATAAAACCATGCTAAATAAATAAGTTACTTCTTATTTCTGTTCGTCGCCTAAAGTTTTCCTCAAGATCATTACTAACTCTATCACCACCTTTTTTGGCTTTCTGTAACCTATTTATTGCAGCGGCTTGACTATAAGACGGTCCAATGAATTCTTCATTTTCGTCATCGTCCACGTCTTTAACTGATTGCAATTTTTTTACGAATTTCACTGGATTCATTTTCATAATATCGCTTTGGCTCATTTTGACAGTCTAGAAATTAGTTACCATAATCTCAATTTAAAATAACTTTCTATATTACTTACCGATTTGGTAAAGATATTAAAATCTAATGTGGTGTTTGCCATAATTTGTGAAAAGGTACCAAATCTATGAATTAACATTGCAATATATTGAACGATTAGTACGAGGAAGAACATGGCTAAGAATACAATTCCAACCGGTTCTAATTCAAGGTATTTTTTGTTAATTATAATCTGAAAATGTACAATGTATAATAATTTTAAGTGTTATCAATAATTAATATTTACCTCATTTTCGCCGGTATTGTAAGTAAAATTTGATTTTGCATTGAAAGGCCAATTAAGATGAATGTCGTCTTTCTTTACGGTTAATAAAAATATAACTAACACAAATATAGCATTTATCATAAAGAAAGACATTACGACTTTATCGCGAAGATCCTTTAAGTCTTCTGCTATTCTCGCTTTATCTTTGCTGTCGTCTATTGGTTCCAAATACTTACGAAGGAGATTTTCCCAAAATAACAGTTCATTTTCTGGTAAACGAGAAGCCGCTGAATATTTTAAACAATTATCTCTGATCCAGCTATGTTCTGGCACCGAACCGAAAAGTTGCACATGTTTAGAATTCTTAATCAAAGGAGATTTTGGTGCAGTTTCATTCTCAACACTTTCCTGAATATTTTGTTCGGGTTCTGGCTCCTTCCCTTTTTCTATCATCTCCAGTTTATCTAATACAGCGTCAAGTTTACTTTTTTCGGCAAGTTCTTTTTCAGCAAAGAGCTTTTTCGAAATGTTATCCAGAAAATTGATTATTGCACCTTTCGCGCCATTCTTTTCTTTCTTTTTGATTTGTTCAGCGGATGATTCTACCGTTACTTCTCTTGTTCCCCATGATACATTGTTCATATTAAAAACTGAGTATATGATAAGTATCATATACATGCAAGGTACAGTTACATAATAAACCAAGCCGAATTTTAAACAATTAAATTCTTTTGGATGTAGCATCGCAACCGAAATCATTTGGCCAGCTACGCAGAAAAAGAATAACGATGAAGGAGCAAGAAAGCCGTCGTCTTTTATCTGAAGAACTATTCCAACCAACACCGCCATCATTACTAGACAATAAACACCGCTTAATATTCCCGCTATAAATAACTGAGTTTTATCCTTTTGGTAAAAAGTGCATGTTATCACAAATATCATAATGGGAATACTATTCCATATAAAACTCGTCCATTGATCCATTTGAAATGCGGCTACAAACGCTCCTATTAACATCACAAAGATCGTTCCTGGTCCCAAAATTGTTCCAACCATCAAAAATGACTAAAAATATTTTTTTATTAACAAAATTAACGAAACTTAAAAATACCAAATCGTACCTGGTAAGCAATGTATAATTTTGAGATGTTATTATTAACTTTCACTGTTCTATCAGAATTAATTAATAAATCAAGAATATTAGCAGTGGTTGATGGAACCCATCTACGACGTTGATTAAAGAACTCGTTGAAACCCTCAGGACAATGAGTATAAGCATCTGATGCAGCTGAATATTCAACACGATATCCTCTTTGTAATAAAAGTGTTGATAACCATCTGTCTTCACCTATAAATTTATCATATACATATAATTGTTTTCTTATCACAAACCCTCACTAAATAAAACCTAAGCAAGTAAAATACAAACCTTGATCAAACTGCACGTAATGTAAAGCTTCCGAAGATGTTGTTGCATATTTCCTCATTACACTTACATCCATTAAAGCACCTCCTCTAAACAAAGTAAAACAACCGGGGCTGCAAAGTACACATCCAATAACGTGTTCTGTAGCTTTTTGAAGCCAATGACCAATCGCATATTCAAACATTTGATACCATGCCATAATTCCGTTTCCGATTGGATGAATTCTTCCGCAAGCAGCCCCTAATGATTCATCCTTTTTCATTAGATCCACAAGTAAAGTTACCGCTTTTGGTTGGAAATCAATATCACCATCTAAGGCTAATATGTAAGTATTGTGAGCTCTTAACGCTTTTTTGCATTCATCAATATCATCACGTTCAACAATCCTATAAAAGATTAATATGAAGAACATAAGACTATTATATTTAGAATTCTTACATGTGTCCTAGAATGTAATACATGTACATAACTTGTGACCATCTTTTTTTAGGTCTAATTTTCTTTTTATCTTTTAAATGAGCAATAAGTTTGGTTTTTCCTGGTAAAGTCCACACTAATCTTCCACCGTAAGGTGTAACATATTTTACAGGAGGCTTCACTTTCATATGAACCTCATGTACAATCGATGTTGCTTCATCTACAGCTTCGATTAAATCCTTTACGAATCGATTCAATTTGGGATCTGTGTCGTCTTGTGATTTTCTTACAAATGCATCGTCAAAGAAAATGTGCGCTGCATAAAATAATAAATTAATATAATTCATTAAAAAAAAAATAAAAACATACTTTCAAACTCATAATAATCTGGCATCTCAATCTGTAAATAATTTTTTACAATTCTTCTAGCGCATTGATCTTCGTCCATTCTAATAATCGATTTTAAGAATGTTATCATTTCCTCTTTAGTTTCATGCCACATAGTTCCACATCCATAAATCCTTGTGATACTATCCTCTTCTAATATCGGAACTATATTGCTTGGATCTTTAGATTTTGATAAATATTCCAAGATCTGAGCGTCCAAAACTTCGCCTGGAGTGAAAGCTTCTCTTGGTAACTCATCTAATCGTCTTCTATTCATCGCTACATCTTGGTCTATTAAAAACGGTTCATACATAGGTCTGACGAATAATCTTTCAGTTTTTGCAAGTCTTTCTGCTTTGGGAGTCCAAAGATGAGCAGTTATCCAAACTTGCGAAAACAACCAAAGTATCCAAATCCAACTGAATTCGTTTGCAAGGAAATCGCCCAAGTTATAAAGTGGTGGTAAGTTAAAAAAAAGATACGGAGGAATACTATTGCTAAATGCGCAATCATCACTTATGTAAAGACCGCATATAGTTATCAATCCAGTTATTGTAACAGGGACAGCAAGATTAATAGGGAAGGCAAGTCCAAAACCTTGAATATATGTTTTACATGCGAATTTTCCAAAAACGTAGCAAATATATGTTGAGCCAATGAAAATTAAGAAAACCCAAACCGGAGTCATGACATCGCTTAAAATTTTTGTTGACATGCTGGGGGATATTGCATCTTCTAAGTAAAGGTCTTTCAATACATCGATTGGAGTTATCTATAAATAATAATGGTGATAATACAATTGTATATGCAGAAATAAAAAATCTTACTTCTTTCACGGTGATGTTATGAGAATGAAATGCGTTAATAAAATTGTCAAACATTGCTGCGGCACCATTTCCATGATTTTTTTCTATCAATACAGCACACAAAAGAAACAAAGCACACTTATAAATTGATACTATTGAGTAAGTAAAATAACGACTATTGCTGAATTTTTTATTGGCTTTTACCAAATTCCTCAACCAACCCCTCCGCAAATTCTTATAATCCATAGTAAAATTTTCCCACCATCCTATCGAAATAAATATTCCCACCAAAGGAATTAGCTTAACTTCGGAATCATCACTAATTAACGGAAATACAAAAAACGATGATATTTGAATAACAACACTGAGGAGATCCAACGCTAATTTTTGCGTACCATCAGCACTTTTTAAATCATTCCTGTAGCTATTTATGACGTAATTTTCTTCGTAGGCCAACAAAAATTTTGATGCAACAACTGAAACAATTCAAATTTATAATGTTAGCCACATAGATATTTGATGGATTTTTTTCTAATATAGTATCTACAAGCAGATTTGAAACGGGATTATCCGTTATAGCCAAAAGTCCCTAAAACAACTTTTTGAAGAAAACGTCATTAAAAAAGGCATATCATCAAAACCAATTGAAATCGCCTGATAGTTTTGAAGTACTTGAACTTGAATAAAGAAAAAATCATCGCTAATCTCACAATTGGTCACTTCAAACGTAAGTCAAAAACGTAGTTGTGTTGCGTACGAAACAATCACGACGCGTGCATTTAATTTTTTAATTTTACATTGTGTACTTACTGAAAACTGCTGGAATAAAACAAAATGCGTTTGTTAACATAATTCCTTTTAGTACGTCCAATTTCGGTAAGACTACAAACACAAGAATCGCATTTCCAATTGTTGAGCATGTTTCACTGATGAAAACCGATAAAAATTGTGATAAGTACGGTATTTTCCAAGACTTGTATAGCATGATTCTCAACGATCGTATAAAAGTTCCAAGTTGTGGAACGAAAAATGCAAAAATTAACATCCACACCCATACCAATCTTTCTTCTTCAGGAACTTCCACCGAAAAGTTTTTAGTTCTGTCTATAATTAGAAAATAAAATTGTATTTAATTTTATTTTTTTATTAGTTTATGTTTAGGAGTGTTTAATTATTACCCAGCTTTTCGTTGCAGTACGGCATTTCTTTAATGTTTAGTTGCGATGTCATAAATAGCAAACATCCTTTAGATATAACTGCGCCGCCAAGAACCACTAAAAACACTACGATGTACGTACAAAATTTTCCTAATTTTTCCGCGAAATTAACATATTTTGTTTCAACCGAAGAGCCGGTTGCTTTATTTACGGGAGGATCTTCAAATATATCCCATTTATGTTGCTCTTCAACTCTTAAAATTTTATAATTTTTGTTAAAACTTTAATAATAAACATATTTTAATATTTGCAACTTACTCTCGTATCAAAGGAATCTGTTCTTCGTTCATTTTATGAGTTATGAAAATTGATCTCTTCTTAATAGATGAACGTAGTAGGTAAAGTAAGTTTTAATAAACAATCATAACTGATTAAAGGGATTTACTAATACTGCAATGATTTCGATTCGACGAGTTTATTAGTGTTAGTTTTAAATAGAATAAAACTTTAAAAAAATTAGAGAGATTAGATTAATTATAGTTTGAAACGGATTTATTGTTCGGCTTAAACTCTTGAAAATTAGACAATTATCTGCTCCTGTAAGTAATTATTTTTATATTACCTATCTAGCACTGATTGACAGGATGATTAATTTTAGCTTAATTTTTGAGTAAGTAGGATTCCTAATTGAGATAAAGTCACGTGTTGTTTCACTAATCTAGAAATATTAAGAAAGAAATATTTGTTTCAAATAAATAAATAGACAATAAACAAGTTTATCAAAAAACCGATTTTTATTATTGCAAGATCTTTTGAATGCTCTCCACTATAGGTCCCTTCTTACAGAGGTATTATGCTTAGGATTCTGATATTTAATGCAAATTCTTACCATGAACATGAAAAAATGTTTAGATATCTTTTGTAACTTCATTTCTACAAAAAGTCATTGCAAAGTATTTCGAACTATCAAAACTTATTGTGCTAGAGGTACCCCATTGCCAGACATTCATAATATCAGCTTAAATTAATATGCAATCGCTTTGGTTTCTTATCACACCACATGTTGAAATTTATTTGCATTACTTTACAACATGAGAGAGCTGATTTCTAAACAAGCACTTTTCGTGAGGACAATTTGTTGTATCCATACCACATTCAACGCCTTCAAGCCCTATTATCTGCTGATTTTCCTCCATCCATAATGGATTTTCCTCATCATCCATTATGTCAATGGATATTGCAAACATTAGTTTGTATCACTCCATTCCCGACACAGATTCTTTTTACCGATGAAGCCAGTTTCTCAAGAAATACAATAAAGAATTTTCATAACAATCATGTGTGGGCAGATGAAAATCCGCATGTGGTATGTGAAGATCATTTTCAACATCAATTCTCCTTGAATGTTTGGGTTGGAACTGTGGATGATTATCTAATTGGACCGGTATTTCTACCAGGAAGATTTGCTGGCGTGGTGTATCGCAACTTTTTGGCAGAAACGCTGCCTGAGTTTCTGGAGGATGTACCACACGCGATAAGAATTGCAATGTGGTTTATGCACGATGGTGCACCACCACATTTCAGTTTGGTTGCTCGTAATTTTTTAACAGCAACATACGGAAATAGCTGGATTAGTCGAGTTGAGCCACACAGCATGGCCTGCTCGATCCCCAGACTTAAACCCCCTGGGTTATTTTTTCTGAGGGTCTCTGAAGTCATTAATTTATGCTACTCCCTGCTCACTACTCAATTACAAACGACCCTGATGTGTTTGAAAAAGTTCGGCAGTCAATGACGAGAACATAGAATCTTGAATTCAGGCAGGAGGAAGTCATTTCGAACATTTATTGTAGATTGAGCAACTTTACATGTACTTTTTGATAATAAAATGTTGTTACTGTCGCAAATTTTGTTCGCCCTGTATATTCGAAACAAAGGGGTTTTTCAAAAATCATCTAAAAAATTAAGATTAACACAAATTATTGTATTAAACTTGTTATTAAAAATTTTATTTAAGGGCTTTATAATACAGGATAATTACCAATAAAATATAAATGATAAACTTAATACTATAACAATCATCGACAATTTTTTTGATGTTATCTTTGAAGTACAAACTGAACAGACCTTAGATTTCACTTAGATTACCGCCGCAATTCCTTGGAAATATTTACTTTGATAAATACCTATTGATAGATATAGATAATACACTCGAACAATAAATATATCTGCCTACTGATTAAGAAAATATGCTACATTGTAAATGAAAACAAAAAAAAAACGATTCTTGTATCATTTTTTCATAATTAGGTGCAGTATGTATTCAAATAAATAAATTTTGCGTTATTACGAGACGCACCAAACACGCAACAAAGTATCAAGCGAACGAGGTGAATTCATCATTAACAAATCCTCTATTCATATGGCCACCATCTTTAAGCGTTACAGAAGGTTGTTGTATATAAACAGATTTTCTTTTTTCCATTATAGTTCTTCTTCGATCCGCGATAACTTCAACAGTTTTTCTAGGTAATGGTCCTTTGTAATCTAAAAAAAATCATATTCAGACACCTTTCATTTAATTATCATTAAAAACTTACTATCAATTAATTCTGTTCTTTTTGTAAACGCTTCCTCCAAATCATTTATTGGTTGTTGCTGTTTAAGAGCACTTTTTTGTAATCGAAAAACAGTCGGCCTCCGTTCTGGAGCAACGAACATAAACGCATCATCTTCATCATCACTGTCATCAGCACCTTTTAATTTTTGTAATTTTTTGATATACTCAACTGGATTCATCGCAACGACTTCTTCTTCCGTTAAATTATCAACCGATCTATCAAATAATCTTATATTTGTGTTAGCAACGATTTGAGCAAACGTTTTTAATCTATGAATTAACATAGCGATAAATTGGATAAATAGTAGAGATGCAAAAGCTATCAGAAAAACACCACCAATCGGTTCTAATTTTAAATAGTCCTTGTATATTCTAATCTACAATAAAAAATTATATTATAATAAAACAGTTAATAAGTTAAGTTAGATATTGCTATGAAACTGACTGAATTTTATTCATTAAACTGGAAGGAATATAACTGGGTGAATGGTTTACATTGAAATAAACTTTACTATACATCATTAATCATTACCTCGTTCGCATCATTCAAATAAGTAAAATTAGCTTTAACTTCCAATGGCCATTTAACGTTAATATAATCCTTTTTCAAAGTCAATAAAAACACGATTAATACGAATATAGCGTTTAACATGAAAAATGCTAAAACCATTTTATCCCTTAACGCTTTTAAGTCGGCGGCAATACGTTTCTTTTCTTCGGAATCGTCAACGGGATGAAGATACTTTTCCAATATACCTTCCCAAAATTCAACTTCATTGTGTGCAAGCACCTCTACAAACCCCCGTTTGAAATTTTCATCATACATCCAACTACCTTCCAAGTTCTCGTCAACGCTTGTATCGACAAAACTACCTTCGAAGTTTTCAATCGATTCGATAGACGGGGGTTTGTCGTAAATTTCTTCTTTCTTTTCAATCGTATTTGGTTCTTGCATGCTGTTAAGTTTATCCAAAATCGTTTTTAATTGTTCATTTCCCGCGTTATCCGGAGTGGTGAAGAATAAACATTTAAAAATATTACCCAAAGAAAATTCAAATCCTCCTTTTGTATCGTCGTTCTTTGATCCTAACAAATTCGTGACTTTACTTGTACTCTTATTATCGTTTTTGGCTGGTTGAGGATTTGGAGGTGGGGCCCCTTGAGCTTGCGGCGCAACCGTTACTTCACGAGTACCCCATGATACATTGTTCATATTAAAAACTGAATAAATAACCAATATCATATACATGCAAGGTACAGTTACATAATAAACCACGCCATATTTTAAACAATTAAATTCTTTTGGATGTAGCAGCGCTGCTATTATCATTTCTCCAGCAACGCAAAAGAAGAATAATGAGGATGGCGCAAGAAAACCATCGCTGTTTATTTGCAGTATAACACCCACAAGTACAGCCATCATAATTAGACTATAAATTCCACTTAATATGCCAGCGACAAATAATTGAATGGTATCTTTTGTAAATATCGAACAAATTATCACGAAGATCATAATTGGAACGACGTTCCACATAAAGCTCGACCATTGATCTAATTGAAAAGCAGCTACGAAAGCACCAACCAACATCAAGAAAATTGTTCCCGGTCCAAGAATTGTTCCAATCATAAGGACAAACTAGAAAATAATATTTATATTATTATAACATACATATACAAAATATTGAAATAATTACCTGATAGCCAATATATAATCTCGATATATTATTATTTACTTTAATAGTTTTGTCAGAACTTAATAACAAATCAAAAATATTTGCCGTCGTTGAAGGCATCCATCTTCTGCGTTGATTGAAAAATTCATTAAATCCTTCAGGACAATGTGTATAAGCATCCGAAGCAGCTGAGTACTCAACTCTATATCCACGCTGAAGCAACAATGTGCATAACCATCTATCTTCACCCTGATCGAATTGAACGTAATGTAACGCTTCGGAAGATTGCACCGCGTATCTTCGCATAACACTGGCATCCATCAAAGCGCTTCCTCTGAACAACGAAAAACAACCCGGGCTACAAAGAACGCATCCGATAACGTGCTCCGTAGCTTTTTGCATCCAATGCCCGATAGCATATTCGAACATTTGATACCACACCATAGGACCACTTCCAATGGGATGAATCCTCCCACAAGCTGCTCCTACGTTCATATCTTTTTTCATCAAATCGACTAAAAGACGAACCGCTTTTGGTTGAAAATCGATATCACCGTCTAAAGCTAAAATAAAAGTGTTGTTTGAACGTAAAGTTTTTTTGTGTTCATCCCAATCATCACGCTCCATCAATCTAAAACAAAATATTTGAAACAATCATAAAAAATTTAACCATCATAATTTTAAGTACTTGTGCCCAAGAAGATAATACATGTACATAACTTGAGACCATCGTTTTTTAGCTCTAATTTTCTTCTTGTCTTTTAAATGGGCGATTAATTTAGTTCTTCCTGGAAGCGTCCACACCAATCTTCCACCGTATGGTGTTACTGATCGTACCGGCGGTCTTACTCTAATATTAATTTCGTGAACCTTTGATGCTGCATCATCAACGGCATTTATTAAATCTTTCACATATGAATTAATTTGTGGGTCTGGGTCATCTTGAGTTACTCTTACGAAAGCATCGTCAAAAAATACGTGAGCTATAAGAAAAATCATTTAAAATGTGTTTTTTAAATATAATAATTAGACCAATTGGTTGGTTTGCGTGGGTGTAAGTTGATAATGACCATATTTTACACGTTTAAAAGTTTAGTTTTCTGCTTCAATATTGTATCTGTTTGCACAAAAACGTCATTTTAGCAAAATGAAAGCTGGAAATTAGCACGAAGAGAAAAAAAACAGACATAAATTAGTAAACAACTTACACCACACATCCACTCCATAAAACTATTAATTGATTCTCACTTTCTAATTCGTAATAATCCGGAACTGGATAATCTAAATATGACTTAATAATTCTTCTAGCGCATTGATCCTCATCTAATCTTATAACTGATTTTAAGAACTCCATCATCTCATCTTTCGTTTCATGCCACATGGTTCCACATGCATATATCCTCGAAATACTATCTTCCTCCACATCAACCGGCACCATCCTTCTCCCACTCCTATTCATTTCCAAATTCAATAAAGCTTGTCTTCTATCAAACTCTTCTTGTCTCTTACTTTCTTTTAATGGTTGATCAAGAATACGTCTGTTCATCGCTAAATCTTGATCTATGGCGAATGGTTCATACATTGGTCGCACAAACAGTCTCTCAGTTTTTGCTAAACGTTCACTTCTTGGTGACCAAATATGCAAGGTGATCCATACTTGCGATAACAACCAAAGTAGCCACATCCATGAGTGTTGTTGTCCGACGAAATCTTTTAAGTAATGAATAGGTGGTGAGTCAAAAAATAAATATGGTGGGATGGTGTCTGTGAAGGAACATTCATCTTCGTTGTGAACTCCACACATTGCCACAAGTCCGGATATTGTAACAGGAACGACAAGATTTATAGGAAATGCGTATGATAATCCTTGAATAAAGACTTTACAACAGAATTTTCCAAATATATAACATAAATAAGTTGAGCATACGCAAATTATAAACAGCCAAACCGGAGTCATTACATCAGATTTTATTAATATTCCAGGTCCAATTGAGACTGCTTCATTAATCGATAATTGATTCATCAGAAGCGGTTTAACTTCACGAATTGTTATGTTATGTTCTCCAAAAACATCATTGGCAAATAAATGAGTTACATCACCTTCATAACTGTACTCAGTAAAAACCATCATCATAAAAAAAATAAAACATTTCCATAATGAAACAAAAGTGTACACGCAATATCTGCTATTGGAGAATTTTCTGTTAGCCTTAAGAATTTGTCGTATTATACTTTCTTTTTCTCTAGAATCTTCATTTTTCTTTACATTATCGCTATCATAACTATAATTTTCCCACCATCCAGCAGATATAAAAATAGCAGCTACTGGAATACACCAAAGAACTGGATCATCTTCTACAATTGGCCACATGAAAAATACCGTTCCTTGGATGAGGATACAAAGTAAATCTAATCCTAATCTATAGAAAACATCCGGATCAGAAACGTTATTTGTGAAATCATATGATGGTCGACGTTTCGATTTGTATTTATCGTAAAGTTTTGATGAAAAACCTGAAAAAATTAATACTTGATAGGTTTTATAACATTGTTTTTTGCCATCCAGATAACAATTTACAACAAAACAATCTAATAATGTTCTTAATTCATTCATTTAATTTATGAATGAACCATGATAAATATTTTTTTTAATCATGTGTCATTTTATTAATAAATTTAATGTTAAAAAATTCTAGAAAGTAAATGAAAAATAAAAAGGATTTAAAACTCTGTTGCTAAACAACGATAATAATCTAAAGATAGTTATATTTTTATGATAGAAATGCGTAATAAATCATGATAAATCATATCGATCAATATACGTCACCTACTTACTTAAAACAGCCGGCACGAAACTAAAAGCATTCGTAAGCATAATGCCCTTGACAACATCTAAAGAAGGTAAAATGACGAAAACTAAAATTGCTGTTCCTATGGTAGAACAAGTTTCGCTAATAAAAATCCCTAGGAATTGCGCAGTTGTCGGTTTTCTCCAGTCTTTGTACAGTAAAATTCGTACGGATCTTATAAAGGTGCCGACTTGCGGTACAAAAAATGCGAACGTTATCATCCACATCCAAACGGCCTTCTCTTCCAATGGTAAAGTTACCGTAAATTGTTTATTGCCATCTGTAACAAATAATTCCGAATGATTGATAAGTTATCATGCGACAGGATGTAATTTTTTTAATGGTCTTTGATTATAAGATTAGTCTAGATTTTTGTACGATCAGTATTTCTTAGAATTAAACAGGATGTAATTAGTTAATATCTTGATAATAAATTAGATTTTGTGATTCATTTTTTACAAGGGAATTGTATTTTATTCGAGATTTTTATTAAATTATTGGAAATTTATTATGTGCCTTTACAATTATGAAAATCACATTTTGTAACCGAAGATGATACTTTATTTGAGCAATTTCAGTGTTTTGCTTTACTTTGTTAACAAACCAAAAATTCTTTTAACTTTACATTAACTCCATTCTAGAAGAAAAAGGGATCATCAATCAATTCGTCCAGAATGGTGAGAGATCGATCAATTTTCTTATATCAGGACCTACAAATATTCCTTCTTTAATTTTGGTATCACTGAGCCTAGGAAATTTATTTAACTCAAGCTCACACCATGCTCAAGAGGAGGAGGAAGCAACAATACTTCATTAGGCAGATTCTGTACTACCCTAAAATTTGTACATATTTGCCATTTAACCGCTGCATATTTTTTCCAGAATCTTGGGTTTTGAAATTGCTCTTCACTAGAACAATCGAGTTTGGCATCTTCTTCAATAGAAGTCGATAATCTTAATGGACTCAAAGATTGCTTTGGTGCCGAAATTTCAAAGAATTGGTGTTGATAGACATCTGCATATTTTACGGAATTTTGGCTTGTTACAGAAGTCCTTCACTAAATGTTTGTCAAACGGAACCACCAGTCTTCTGAATGGTTCTTGGGTTCACGCCACTGTATTGCTACGCTAAAAGACATTTCTTTTTCTATTAGAAATAGACTTGGGTTAAAGTCCATTTAGCTTTATATCGTACCAATGTGATACATGCAAAATTTTGGAAAAATAGTGATTAAATGTATGATAATGAAAAAGACTAACTTCTTTCATAATGTCCAGAAAGTGGTTTTACAGTAGACCCAAAAAGTATTTATGTAACATTTAGAATTTGGAAGAAAAATACAAGGTGCTTAAAGTTGAATAAAAATAAGATATACAAAATTATAAACATGCAAACAAAAGTTGGTAGCTTATAATCTCATCGGAAATGATGTGCTAAAAATAAACGAATTTTGCGTTTTATGGCATAAATTTTGAGGAGGAAACATAAGATATTTTATAGTTTGATTTATATGTACCACAAAACAAAAACTGAATTGCTACGACAATTTGGCAGCGGTAGACCTTAGAATTTGAAAGAACAAATGTAGTAAGGACACAATATGTAATTCAACATAGCACTGCGCTTATGGGGATTAAGTGACTGAGTTTGCTTATTGAACAGAATAACTGCACTACAGCAGAATACTTTAACTTGTACTATGCATTAAAGTTGAATTACTATTAGCTCAGCTTATCAGACTGAGCACAAATATCACAGAGATCATTAACATTGATTTTCAAAGAATATTGTAAAATGATACAACAATCGTGATATAATTCAAAATAATAAATTTCATCCTATTCATTAAAGAAGTGTATTTGTTTGTATTTTCATCAAGAGTGATACATATCAAATTTTAATCAGATTTGAGATGGAACGAATTTCTTAATGGTTTCAAGAGATTTGTATCTCAACGGTACTTAAATTTTAAGTGAGTGTAAACTCGAAATTTATTTTAAATATCATGGATTTAATTCAATAGAAATTCCTAACACTGCGAGCACCAGGATTACAATTGTAAAAGGCGGTTATGATATAACAGTTATTTGAAAATAGTGGTTAATCATAACTGTATATGTTAGGAAGATATTTATCTCATCATTGTCATTAATTATTCGTTTTTGGTCTCACCTATGACAAAAAAGGATGTTATGCGTTTTTTGTCAGGGTGCTATTGAACAAAAACATTAGTCAAAACTAAATACACAGTTTTGACTTTAATTGAATTAAATTAAGAAAAGAAATAATGAATTGGCTACATTTAATCTCTTAATGTTATCATAAAATTTCATCTCATGTACTCAGGTAAGCATTCAATTTTAATTACCTAATTGTGTTCTACAATACGGTCTTGTTTTACCACTTAATTGTGATGTCATAAATAATAATGATCCTTTCGAAACAACGGCTCCACCTAACACCACTATAAATCCTATGATATAACAAAAAAATTTTCCGAATTTTTCACCAAAATCAATCCATTTTGTTTCAACGGTTGAACCAGATTCCACGGCAGTTGGTGGATCTTCAAAAACGTCCCATTTCTTTTTTTCTTGTTCAGGACGTCTAAAAATATATTTCTTAATTTTTTTCTAAAACTCAAGATTTCAAAAAATCTTACAAGGGATTAAGAGGTTCCATCTCTTCGTTATTCATCATTTTGTAGGAATTTGTTATTTTTTTAACAATTTTCGCTGTAACACACTTTACACTTACATTCCATAGTATTTATAACACCTTTATTGTTGTCCTCAATAACACTGGATTTTTTTCGAAGCTGTATCTTGACGATATTTGTTTTTGATTAGATATATCTACCAATTACCATAATGGATTTTTTTAATTGTACATTATTCGCCGTAATACAAATTGTTCTTAAATTTGATTAGCATTCGGTGGGGATTTATCTCAGATTAAAGGTTGATATTGTAAAAATGTAGATAACAAATATATATCCAATTGGAATTAAAGAATTTAAAAGAAAATAAAAGAATAAAATAATAAATTCTAATTTAATTTCTCAATACCTTGTGGTTATGGTATTAGTAATGTCGTGGTAAATTAATATTTTGTTCTTGTTACTGTTATTTTTTTCATTATTGTTACTATTATTAAGTTGTATTGTTTTTAATGCTATCTAACAGATGCTTTCAAATCATCATGAGCGAAAAGACTAGTACCCAAATGAAACTGGACAATAGCTTTCCACAAGAAACGGTGCTGGCTCCTCTGCTTTTTAGTCTCTACATAGTAAAAATTCGCGAAGCCATATCAAAGAAGTTCAAATACGCAGATGCCTGGGTGCTTGCTACAAACCATAAAAAATTGGAGTGCTGAGAAAATTTTAGCAAGTGTCTTGGCTACCCTGGGGATGTATTTCAGCGACTGGAGACTGCTGCCCAATGCCACCAAGAACCTGGAACGCTAAGATTTAAACAACACTTTGGGAAAACAGCTGTAAAACTCAGAAACACCATCATGCAAAACCTGAACCTGAACTTACATCGATAGCATTGGATCTTGTGTACCCCGTGGTAGAGAGAAACTACAAAAATGCTAGATGGAAATAACTTCAACATAATTGAGCACTGGAGAGAAGAGTGTAGCGCTTGCCAACTGGACTATGCCATGTGTTCAAGCAAGCTAGAGGGTTTCGACCAACCAACACGAATCTGGGCATTACTCAACAGAATGAGGACGAATTGCGGCAAGTGTACTCTTCCAGTGGAGAAAAATACTCTCCACAAATTGCGACTGTGGTACTGAAAGACAAACTATTGAACATCTGGCAGAGCAATGCCCATTAGGTTCTAGAGTAGCAACCCTTCACTATACTTCACTATATTTGTAATAAAATTTTGATGTTTGTTTGTACAGCTTGTTATTATAATTGTTACTATCATTGTTCTATAATGTATTGTTTGCACCATTTATATACGAAACTCTCTCTCTCTATATATACAAATTACCTACCTATTACCTATTTCTAATATAATGGACTATACATATATGAGAATATACTTTTGTTTTTATTTAATGAAAAGTACTAAAACACATTGATTTAAAATTAATAAATTTATTTATCTACAAAATAAATAATAATTTCACTGGAACGCAATACTAGTATTTGAAAATCAATTAACTAGGACTTTTGTAAAACCAAAACAGATTTTACATAACTAACAAATAAGTAAAACAGAAAAATTGATTCTACGTAAGTAATGATGTAAAAGGCAGGTTTAAAAACATGAATCGGCCCCCTTTTATAAACCACACGGAAATTCGGTGCCAAACCATTAACCAAATCAAAACTTTCAAAAACAACGATTTCTCTTGATGGTGCTAAAGCGGTTGTTATAGTTTGTTTGTCCGCAATCTTCACGTCAGCATCTTCGGTTATATTTGCAGAAATTAATTTCGACGATTCCGGCAAATACACTTTGGTTTTTGCAGTTTTTATGAAAGCATTTGGAAGAACATCGTCCACTACAACCATGTCTAAAACGTAAATATCGTCCGATTTTTGTAGATATGGGTAGGCAGGAACGGTGTATTTTAGTGTATAAATCGTTTTCCAAGCCATGAAAAGTTCATAGCGAGATTCAAAAACTAAGAGAGTGCCATAATCGGAATAATAAAGTTGAGATTTGCTGTTATTCCCGATTCCGTCGAATAGTTTTATATTGAAGGCCAATTCTGGTAACAGCGTACGTAATTTTGTCCTGGTGTAGTTCGGAACTGGTTGGTATGGTTGCTTGGATTTATATCCTATTACAATAAATATATTATTATTAAACGTTATGCACGAATTTGTTAATTAATATAATTAAAAATTTATTTACCTTTATTAACAACAGTAACGGTTTCCTCAATTATAATAAATCCGTAATGAGAAATATCAATTTTTCTTTCAAAATTAGTAACATAATAAAATGGCAAATTATTCATATAAACAATTTGTAAAGGAAAAAAACTGTACGGTTGAACATTGAACAACTGATTAGAAACCCGAGTTTTATTACCGTGAATTTTCGGTTCAATTTCAACAAATTCACATCTTTTCTCCGGTAATTCATAAACAATCATGAAATTTTTCGTTTTATACACGGAATAATATTCTAAGTTTCCTTTATAATGAATAAAACGTTGTGTACTATGCGAATCTATCAATACCAGCTCATCCAAAACAACAATAACCACTTCAAGCGTAAATCGTTCGTTTTTTACAATCACTTTCGGTAGTTTAATTAAATAGGTACGATTATCATATTTAAGGTAATCTTGAGAAAACGTTACTTTAGCTTTTTGAACGCTAGGATCTAACGTGTAAGTGTAGTCATTTACCCCATCCTCTCCATTGTTCACAAATTTGATATCCTCGATAATTATAACATTTTGATTTTCTAAAGTAATATTTTTATAAACGTTCTCATTTATAATTTCAACGCAATCACAAAAAGGAATTATTAAGAACCAGAGTAGTATTATTTTTGGCGGAAACATTTTCACTTTGAACTCAAAGAGGCATTTCACAACAAATGTCAAATTTACTATATTTACTGAAATTAGCTGAATAAGATAGCATACTTTGATAAATTTGATTTAATTGTGATTTCGTAATTTGACTTTAAATTATATTTTTGTTGTGATAAAACTTACTTACGGATTTAAACAATAATTTAATATTGTATAATATATATAATATAATATATTAATTTATATATTAGTATAATATATTATATACAATATATATAATATACCGAAAAATCACATTAAAGTTTCGATGTGACGTCACAAGCAATGTTATCCATGTATTTTCCTATTAAACCGGTCAACACCTAACCTACGAATTGTTTATTTTATAGTCACGCACAAAATCAATCTGATAAACTTATAAGTAAAATTATTTTCACTAAACTAGGTGAGATTACAATGTATATTTTCGGATGAAACACCCTTGTTTTTCTTAGGCTTTCGATGCATAACGACTATAAATAGACTGTATGTCAATAGACTCTGTGTTAATACTAGAACTAACACTAGATCTAGAACTAGAAACATTCGGGTTTAGCCGCACGTCTCTCAAGACACCTAAACCCAAATGATTCTAGTTCTAGGTCTTGTATTAGTTCTAGTGATACTGTTAGTGTAAAACTAGAACTAACACTAGACCTAGAACTAGAAACATTCGGGTTTAGCCGCACGTTTCTCAAGACGGCTAAACCCAAATGATTCTAGTTCTAGGTCTTGTGTTAGTTCTAGTGATACTGCTAGTGTAAAACTAGAACTAACACTAGACCTAGAACTAGAAACATTCGGGCTTAGCCGCACGTCTCTCAAGACGGCTAAACCCGATTGATTCTAGTTCTAGGTCTTATGTTAGTTCTAATGATTGTACTAGTGAAAAACTAGAACTAAGACTAGAACTAGAAAGTATCAATCCGGATTTTATAACCCACCCTCTGCTCCAAGCCCAACCCGACATTTGAGAAATTCGCACTGGTTTAAATGTTAATTAACCTAGCTCAAAGTGGGATTTCTACGCAAAATTCTAAAATAAATCGGTAAATTAGGTGGGTCCGAATGTAACGTTTAAAGAGTTACAGATTTTAGGTTATCTTTAGTTTATAGATGGTAAACAAATATATATTTCGGGTATTTCACCCGAAAATATGCATTTTAACCAAATGTGCTGCGAAAATATATGGTTGGTGACGTCACGTCGAAACTTTAAAGTGATTTTTCGGTAAGTTTTACACTTTTCCGCACTTTTTTTTATTTGCAAGGGCTTACTTGAGTGATAAAAACAAAATGGCGATTTTTAAGCGACATGATGATTTTTGAATTATACCTTAACTTTTTTAGACTAATGTCATTCTTTTAAAATGCAGAAACTTGTAACTTAATTGCAACCAAGTATCAGTACAACATAGTAATGAATACAGCATTGATTTTTATTAATAAAAGGTAAATAAATGAGAAATGTTTCAATAAACTTAAGAAAGCTCATTGCTTCCTTTTTTTCTTACCTGCTATGAATGTCTTAATAGCGTTTCCAAATAAACTCTAAACGCTAAAATAAGAATTTCAAAATTTTTCTTGTACCATTGAAAATTATAGGTAACATGTGTTTTCCAATTTTCATCAAGAAATTTTTTATAGAATTCGCTCATTTCATCGGCAGTTAAAGCACGATTTTCTTCCTGTGATACTCTATGAGCTTTTATATAAACTTGCCTTTCCTAAAATGTGTATGATTTACATATAACACTCAAATTACAAAAAAATCTTAAGTAACCTTAACAAATTTAGTATTATGTTCGCTCCAAAATTTTTGGTTCCATTCCTGAGTACTATCCTGTATTTCTCTAAGTTTTTGTTGTAAAATCGTTTCATGTAGGGATCGTTTTCGAATGATGGGTCTCAAATTGGAAATAGGATCAGGTGGACCGATCATGTCAACATTTTCTTTTTCTGTTACAGAAATTATGGGTACTTCAGCAGTTTTCTCTAAAAACACAGCTTCCGGTGATCTTACATTAGAATGTTTAGTATTTAAACTCTAAAAGATAAGAAATATAATTTATTACATAATGTTATCTAACCTAACTTTTCTTAATTTTCAACACAAATTATTAATTAATGTATTACAACTTACGTGAACGGAACTACAAGATAGTTTTATTACATTTACGATCGGTTTCCGGTTTATTAACCTTTTACTAAACATTATTGCTATTTTTAAGTACTAATTCACAGGAGGGATGTAATATTGACAATCCCAAAAATCTAAGAGTTATCAGCGATTATATATCTTATTACTTATTACATAACTCTTCGATTTTATTATAAAGGCTTATTAGAGTCCTTATCAGTAAATTCTCTCATTAAACTAGAGATATAAAATTAAATTTGTGTTTAAAATATCCCATGCGTATAACATAACATAACCTATAAAATTCTAAATCACGTAGAAATATTTGTTTCTACTTTTTAAATATAGATGGCACTCAAAGTAATATTGAAGTTCAAATTTAATTTGGATTTATTATTTATTCTGGAATAAATGTTCATGTTATCGATGATTTTATTAAATAATAACAAATTGTGCTTTAAAGTATAAAATCTGAAAGTGCAATTATATTTTTTGTACTTTGTACAGGGTGGTTCAAATTCGATATCCGAAACTGTCAGAAACTATGAGTTAGAAAAAAAGTAGCTTACATGTCATGATCTTGTTTTTTGGGAAACTGCTAATGCCAAAAACCTCAAAGCGCTATTATCTTTTGTTTTTCCCCTAGGAGCCAAGGCTGAAAATATCGTAAAACCAGCAAGTGCAATTATTTTGGTTATTATTATAGGTGGAGTATTATAACTAAGACATCATATGGACACTTTTTTACAGAGAATTTGATGATAATAAGTCTATTTCTTATTGTTTTAGAATAAAGCTAAAAATAATTTTTTTTTGTGTTGTCAAAAAATTAATTTTACAGTTTCCTATAAATTACGGTACTAAAAACTAAAAATTATTCTATTAAAAATTTATATAAAGTTTACTATATTTTCTACTATGTAACATTCTAACATGTTAAACTTTTCGTAATTTATCTTAAAAAACAGGATTTTTAATTTGACACTTCAGAAAATTTTTGAATACTAAGTTTATTTGAATTTAAAGCAATATATGAGCGCCATCTATCAATAATTTATTAAGTCATTTAATAATAATATTAAATATTAATAAAAAAACGTGAAATAATGCAATCTATTCCAACTTTTGTGCAAAACAAATATAAATTAAATAGTTCAACAAATGTATTTGTTTCAAATATCAGAAATGTTTTTTTAATTTTTAGTTATGATTTACAGGGAACTGTAAAATTAATTTCTTTGACGACACTAAAAAAAGTTTATTTTTAGCTTTATTCTAAAACAATAAGAAATAGACCGGTCAAACCCTATATTTTTGTAATCAGACAACAATAACGAATTTAATAAATCGAATTTGAACCACCTGTACTTCATAATCTAGAGATCATCTGCCAAAAGGTCCCTCTCCTAGCTTCGTTAGCAATTCCTTTGCGTATATTTTGTACGTCGTACTCAGTAAGCTGGTATCTATATAATTCTCCACTATCCCTTTCGTTCCCTTTTGTACAAGGTACTTATTATGGCCGTCCTCCACCCGTTCGAAAACCTTTCTCCTTTCAATATCTTTCTCAACACCATCAACAACCTCGTTCTGGGTCCCATCTTCTCTTTATCTTCATTATCTCCATTCACCAATGTCACACCTATACAAGATTTACATCAAGAAAGCTTTATTAATAACGGTACATTTGATAGTACTTTTTCAAAATTGTCAAAATAGAAGTTTGTGTCATCAATACTTTGAAGTCAAGCTTAAATTTGTGTAGGATACAATGTAAACGAATACATTTTATAGAATGGGCACTAAAGAAAATTAGCAGTTAAATGAAAAATATATTTGAAAAGTTTAAAATTTTACGTCTTGTATTGTTGGATTATTAATTTTAACAATGTCTTCGGTAAGATTTAACATGCTTTAAAAGTTAATTTTAAACAATATGTGATTATGATTCATAGAGACTTACAAATCGCCTAGATCAGATCGAAAATGACATTCGTCTTATGATGATGTTACAAAAATGTGGTAGTGATTCGTCTAAATCTAACATCGATTTGAACTCAAAAAGTGTGGTTTTGCAAAAAAAATTAAGTTGTGATAAATCGTATTTCATTTTATTATTGCTATCGAAGTGCATGTTTTAAATAAAAATTGGTTTTGTAGATACATTTCAGAAAAATCTACGAAAAGTTTACCAGTTGGTAGAAGAAATGTTTTGAAATTTGACCCAAATCGCTTAACATGTCCTGATATAATTCAACCACCTCAAAATTTTTCAAATACATCAAGTTTTCACGATAAATTATCCAGTTCAGGATCGAATGTTGAAAATTTAAAATCACATTCAAGTTCACCGTTAGGATTAGTGAGATATTATTAAAATTAACATAAATTATATTTTAATAAAATACGTATTTAGGAGTCAGAGTATGAACAAACAAGGAAACGTATTCTTGAAGAGGAAGTGATGAAATTAAAATCAGAACTGTCTACTGTATTAGAACACAACGAAGAGTGTACATCAATGATTAATCAATTTAAAATGCAAAACGAAAAGATGAAGTTTCAAATCGATGAGATTAACGGTAAATTATTGGATATGACAAAAGAAAAGGATTATTTATGTAGATGTTTAGAAAGAGAAAGAGGAAAAGGAACAAAAAATAACGAAGTAACTGACGATACAGAATCAAACAGTTACGATGAGAATAAAGAAGAAATTAAATCCCTAAAAGAATCTCTGTTTATGTTATCAAAGAAATTAGAAGAAAACGACCAAGAAAAACAAAATATAATAAAACAAAAAGATAAATTAGATTTAAAATTAAAGAAACAAAAAGAAATGACAAAGAAAATAACGGAAATTAACCATAAATTATCAAATTCAATTAAAATTAAACACGAAAGTTTTATCGTTCTTAGAAACAAAAATAGTAAATGCGAAAAGGAATTAGGACAATGCAAATTGAAATTGAAAAAATCACAAGAAGAACTGGAGAAATTAAAACGAGAATTAGATGATAATCGAGAAAATATGAATAAGATTCCTAAAGAACTTACGGAAAAATTAAATATTTTAAAGGAAAAAGAACAACAATCCCAAAATGAAATAATACGCTGGCGATGTGAAGCCGAAAATTTACGTGTAAAAGTAGAAGAATCAACGAAAAGAATAATGAAATATCAAGAAAATGAAGATTCAACTTTAGCTATTAAAAAACAAAACCAATTGTGTGTTACAACATCAACTATTTTACGAAACAAAACTAACGAATTACAAAAAACGGTGGATGAGCAAAGGAGAAAAATAGAAGAATTAGAATTTATTCGGCAACATCAAGACGTTGTGATTAATTCTCAACACGAACAACTTTTATCAAAAGTATCTTTTAATTACAAAAAATTTTTCAAATCATACCTTAAATTTCCAGGATGAACAAATTAAATTGCAAGAACAAGAAAACGATATTGTCAAAGAAAAATGTTTACAATTAGATAAACAATTAGAAATTGTCCGGAATGTACTTGACTCAAGAGATGAAAACCAATCTAATAATTACCAAAAAATTTGTCAATTAGAAAACAAAATTGAAGAATTAAAGTGAGTTCTAATACAAAATTCGTTATAATGTTATAGTTATTCTTATAGATCAACTCTAGAGAAAGAAAGACGAAATTGTCCACAAGATATAGATAAAGAATGTATAAAAGACACGGAAAAAATGAAAAAAATGTCTTCAGCGCTTGAAGCATCCAAACAAAAATTAGAAATGACGATCAGAGAATTGGACCGAGAAAAAGAAAACTCCAAAGTTATGGTGAATGGATTAGAAGTATGTATTGATTTAATAAGAAATAAAAAATCATTTAAAACGATTGAACCCTTTTTTTTAATGTAGAAATTAACGTTAAAAAAAGAAAAACTTGAAGGAATGATGTTTAATTTGGAAGGATCATGCAATGATTTATTAATCGAAAAAGAACGATACGCTAAATTATGTGACGATCTTGAACAAGAATTAGCTTCCGAAAGAAAAACCAGAGTGTATGAACGCGCAGCTTTGATCGATGAACGAAACAGGGCTTTCGATGTTGCTAGAATGGCGGCAGTTACTTTAATCGAAACTGTCGAGGATTACGAATTAGTTACTAAAACACAAATGGAAGTCAAAAAAAGTATTTGTAATTTGGTCAAGAATAAACAAAAAAGACGTCCGGGGTGTCCTCCAGTAATGATGGGCAAAACAGACTTTATTTATTTAAATTTTTTTTTAATTTTTAGATTGTATCTGATAAAATGAAAAATACATCCAGTGAAAGTGAAATGATTAATGAAAACTTGGATTCTCCTCAAGATTTTAGGGATGAGATGTCTTCGTCTGAAGAATCCGATAATAAACAAGAAGTAAGTTAAATATGTAATATATTTACTTGGTAGGTTTATTATTTTCTTTTTGTTAGACGATTTGCAACTTTAATCCTGGAATCATAGCCACAGAAGGCACGTTAAGAATACCAATTCCGATGACTGCTCTTAATCCATATGCAACAGTACAATCTACATTAATTCCCACTACACCACACGCATGTTGGTTCGGAAATTGCGGATATCAAACAAACCAAGCGATGTGTAACGCAGCCAATCCATACCAATTGGCATCGTGCAGTAACACGAATCAATATCCAAACCACTGCCAAAATGGTGTTAAATATAGTTTGCAGAAAAAACCTTCAAAAATACGCCCACCTATTAAAGTTGTCAATAAAAAGAGTACCAATTCTAGTTTAAATCGAAACAAACGTTCAAAAATTACTGATGAAAATTAAAAAATTATTAGTTATTGTTAATATTTTTAAGTTTATTGTTTTTTTTTGTTAAAGTATTGTATTTTGTAAATAAAAATGGGTTATTTGTTTTATAAATAGATTTGTATTATTTATCAATTTGTTACACTGGGACAGTCACATGGAGGTCTGAACCGTTATTGTTTAAGGAGTCCGATCGAGTTTCAAATAACAGTTGAAGTAGACGGACAACTTGACACTGTTCGTCCCTTATTTATTGCACTCACGTAATACCTACCTAGATAAAAGAAATAATTAACATTTTCCAACTTTCAACAAGAATACTTAATCGACGTTGTAGTTTTGAAGAGGATCCTTTTGGCGAAACTAAATATTAAAAGGAGGAGACAACCAAAAAAAAAATTTTGTTATAAAGACTAAAACGTGTTTGCCAAAAATAGACGTTGCTCATAAAATTTTCAATAACATTCTTCCCAAGAGTTTTATCGTCCTCGCTTAACAAGGTGATTCATCGTAATGGAAGGTTATGAAAGGTGTATTGTTTCAAATGGTTTATTGATAAATTAGAAGCGATTAAGATTAAGAACTATAATTAAAACTTTTTAAGCAAAATTTTTGCTGATATTTTTTTGTTATATTCTACTTACATATTAAGATAGCATGTCTAATACAAGGTAATCCATACCGAAAGCTTAATACATGTAATTTTTTCTGTTCACGAATAAACAACATAAGGCATTATAAATAATGATTACTTATTTTCGAACCATGGTCAAATCGTACATATTGGTTATCGACGTTTTGTTTCAACAGTATTATTCCTCCTAATACCAGCTAAAGACGTCTCGAAAAACCGTTCTTCCACCCACCAGTATTTAAAAGGAGTTGGCACAAGAACATTTAACCATTTACAGGCAGGAAGAGAATCGATCAAGACCAATTTCGATTTCTTAAATCATTATGTTGCGGGGTGTCGGAGTGTTTTTAATTGCCTTTTCTGCGATTTCTTCGGTTCCTTTGAACCCTCCCAGAAAGTTTATCGGCGCTGATTCTGAAATAATTAGAGTACCTAGAAATTTAGTCATCAAATCCTATCCGGCCGTTGAAAACTATCAAAGCGATTTGTATGAAGTCATTATGGAACCGTATGTTTTTGTAAGTTTCTTTTTGTTTTATTTTGATAAACATTCATTTATATGTGTATTTGATTTTAGAACAGTGGAGTTTATTCAGCAATCGCAATGTTTAAAGATTGCGAAAATGCTATTAAAGGAGAAGTTTTCTTCTATCAAAGTGAACCACCTGGTGGTCCCGTTATGATTAGTGGGAACATTACTGGTTTACCATCGGGTAAACATGGAATACATATCCATAGATCTGGATATATGAGAGAAGGTTGTGAAAAATTAGGGGAACATTATAATCCATATATGGTAAGTTTAATTAACTTATCTATATGACATCTAATCAAGTTTAAAACTTGCATCAGCAAATTATTGCAAAGTACACGATTTTTACACACAGCGATAGAAAAATGGTTAGATTTTTCAAATTCGTATCTCAAGAACTAATTGAGATATCGTCATAAAACAACAAGCATTTTAACGCAAATTTAATCCAAAATTAGTACTCCAAAAATCATTTCGTTATTCTAAGAAATTTAGATGTAATAACTTTTTGAATGCATCTTTGCGTGTAATTCGTAATTTTTTAATGTTTAAAAAATCGTATCTCAAGAACTAATTGAGATATCGCCATAAGATAACAAGCATTTTAACGCAAATTTAGTCTAGAGTTGACACTCCAAAAATCATTTCTTTATTCTAAGAAATTTAGAAGCCACAATGTTTTGAATACATCTTTGCGTGTAATTCGTAATTTTTTAATGTTTAAAAAATCGTATCTCAAGAACTAATTGAAATATCGCCATGAAATAAGAAGCATTTTAACGCAAATTTAGTCCAGAGTTGACACTCCAAAAATCATTTCTTTATTCTAAGAAATTTAGAAGCCACAATGTTTTGAATACATCTTTGCGTGTAATTCATGCTTTTAGAGGTTAATTTGTTTATATTTAAAAATTCGTATCTCTAAAACTAATCGAGACATCGCAATTATTTTTTCTTATCGAAAACCTTATGACTTGTTATGTCGTTTCGTCATTCTTGGTTCTACTTTTCCTATGATACTTAGGTCCAGTTGTCTTTCCATCGCTTTGAAGATCTTCTTATTGATCTTTTTGTGTATGTTTTGCCATCTTTTGTCAGGAACGACTGATAGTAAACTTAAATGAAGGCTACAAACCAAATTTCATATGGAGCAAGTCTAAGGCAACGCATAAAATTGATGTCCTCTAAAATAAGAAGGTAACCGTGTAAACGAAGTTGGTATTAATGTTTTTGCGTAAACCAATACCATCAAATAAATTGATGTATTCTGACATAGTTATACCTCTATACCTCTAAGTCCATCGATGATCCATTTTTAGAACAGACCATTTCAAAATGTTCTCCAGACGTTAGTTACTACAAGCTATTTTCATAACATACAAACATCTATACAATTTCTTATCATTAAACTATTTTGTTTTAGATGCAACATGGTGGTCCAATGGATCCACTTCGTCACGCTGGAGATTTAGGCAACATTGAAGTAACTGAAGGAGCTGAAAGAACTGAATTTACATTTATAGATCCAATAATTTCGTTGGTGGGAGCTAGATCAATTGTTGGAAGATCAATAGTAATAACAGAAGAGATGGATGATTTAGGAAGAGGAGGAACTGCTGAAAGTTTCACAACCGGTTCTACATCGAAACCAATCGCTTGTGCTGCCATCACTTACATTCGTTAAACATTAAATCTTTTTTAATTCAATCTATCCTTTTTTTTGTGCAAAATCAACTTTTTTACATTGTTCCTTTTTGATGTTATCACCGTTCGGATCAGGAGGTTATGAGAATCGAAAGGTGTATACAAACGTATAATTAAGTATACTAATTAATGCGCGCCGTTCGGACTTGGTCCGTCTACAGCAAGAAACTTGTAAGGATGTCGTAATGCGTACGAGAGTTGTTGAGAAAATTGTTCGTTTTGTGTACGTTTCTTATTTTAACAGTAAAACCGAACGAGCCGTGAATAAGGTGTATTTATTCAGTCTTTGTCCTTGCTCAATCGTAGTATTGTATGTGAATGATACTTGATAATTTTATTACGTTTAAACGCAGTTCCATTGGAATGCTAAATATGTTAGAGTAGGTCAGCAAATTTCCACTTCAATAGGCACCGTACAAAAAAATTGTTCTTTTATTCCTATTATTTGTGTTTTTAGATTAAATAAAGTAATTAATTGGAGAAGTTGCGTTTTTCTTTGTAAAATTGTTATGTAAACTGGGGATAACCCGGATTAATTTGCATTATAATTTAACCTTGACAGTCAGAAGCTTTAAAAAATATTAACACAAGAAGTATTTAATAAATACCAACTTCATGAAAATTTTCTCCACGTAATTTTAATTGTGCTAGTTACGTAAATCTTAACCGGCGTCACCAATTTAAGACATCTCGTCTTAAGAAGGTTCAAGCGACTGAAAGTGGATTGACCATGGACGAATTTTTTTACGAGTTCTATTTTTATTTTAAAACAAGAAATGGTCTTGTAAACAAAATCTTGTTTAAACATAAAAAACAATACAGTAGTCCAAGTAGGATAGAATATGTATTATTAGAATATGAGGGAGAACATGAATATGAACCCCACCCAAACCTTTTATTCATATTAACAACATGATGTCAGCATAATAACGATGACTCGTTTCCCATTAACCAGTACTCGGCTTGATTGTGTAAGAGAAAGAGTTTTTTTTTAAATAGTAATTATTATTGACTTTGGTGAGTCAAAAAAGTTGCTTTAAATACCGTAATTTGAGTGTGTGTGAGAAAAGTATGTTATCGCTAAACTAAATTTAACTAACATTCTTTGGGCATTACAATTAAAAAATAACACACCATTGTGTTCTACGAGTTACCTTGAAAAATCCTTCAAAGTCCTAACAATATAATTAATCGTAGTACGTAAAAGCCATATATGTAAAGATGTAGGAATCAAGGTGAAAATCAAACGATTTCTTGTTTTTTTATGCCTCTTTAATGATGTCTATCTGCCTAATTATTTTTGAAATCTGTTTTCAAAATACGCCTAACAAACAACATAACAACTAGATTACATGCGAGGTATTTTTAAATACAGATAAAAAAAACCTTCGTTATACTTTATACAAACAAACCTATAACATTACATCTTTAAAAAATAACAAAAACACGAAATATTCTATTTTGTAACGAGATACAGTTCATTTTAGTCAATACAAGATTAATGCAGAAACATAATCTTTCCATTTAAAAAATAAACATCAAGATTCACAATCGCCCAATTTTAAGTAAATGTTGTTTGTCGAGTATTATTTACATAATTTGCATGAAATTCTAAGATTTCTTAGTTATTGGAAATCCTTGTGCTATTTGATATTTCCGGTCCAACCCAACAAATTTCCAAATAACGTGATTCATCTTAATGAATAAAACCAAGCTTAAATCAAATTTAAAAAATGTTTGAGAATTTTCATAAATTTAATAAAAATGCATAAAGTTTAGAAATCAATTAAGCCCTTTAAAGAATGATAAACTAATCGTTAATTGGAATTACTAATTATTTACTAAAAGGAAATGTTAAATGTTTCATCGGAAATTACTTTGTTCTTGATTCATTTCCTTCACATGGCTTGCAACGCATAAAGAATGTTTCACTGCTTTATTTGGACGGATTTTAGCACCTAAGTTAATAGAAAATACTTATTGTGGGAATGCACTTTGTTGAAAATTCTTTGCAACCAGATACTTGACATTATCATTAAAGTCCATAAAATGTATAGCGCGAAATTTGTGGATACTTTCACTCTTCATCCCTTTTACTCCCTTACAGAACCTCAACCATTCACCTTTTCATGATCTCTTAGCTTGATTAAAAAATTATTTTATGTCTTCTCCTACAGAAAAGCTCTCCTTTTTATTTTTATTCCTGCTATCCGTCAATCACAATTCTAGCCAAGGATAGTATTCTGAACATGCTTTTTTTTTCTTGGACACTTTTGGATAATATATTTGCCTTTCAGTATGCCAGTAGCATACTGGAGAGAGATCAAGAAACTTTCTCAAATGATTCGGGACGTTAAACTAATGGCACGGAAGCTTTATGTGTAATCATTACAACGTTCCTTGCTGTATTCATAATCTTCAAGTGATTTGAACAATTTTGAATCGTGCCAGACACATCAATCTTCTTCTGCAAGACTGTCTACTTTGCAGGACTTTTCCAATCTAACCATAATTTGCAATAGTGACGATCTCATCAGTTATTTTTAAACAGGTCCAAATTGATGCACAAAACATTATGTCCGGTTTTATTATATTATTGATTAGTGTGCAAAATGTCTACACAACAAAGGATTTAATTTAGGGTTGACTTGATTTTCAATATTTGCTTCTTCCAGGTGAGGAATCCAAAGACAGATACCGACCATGAGGAAATTTCTGTCAAAATATAACAAACAAAAATATTTGGGGAATAATTCGGATATATTTTATCAAATGTATTTGTGATCTTTCTGTCATGATCTTTCTTTAGTTATCATGAAAAGTTGTACATTACATTAGGTGTTATTGTTGTTTTCACGAATCTTCTTTGCCCTTTCCAAAAATAATTTCGCAACTTATACTGAAGAAATCTCACTGCTGTATTCTTACTATTGGTTTTTTAGAGTTTCCACAACTTGAATGACCCTAATTGACAGGTTTGAATGGTTTTACGAATAAAAGATCTTAGTCTGGTGTATTAAATTGGTTTAGAAGAAAAATGTATCAATAATTTCATAAATAATTGATTAACTAACTATATCCATCCTTCCCTCAGTATCACTAAACCTATTATTACAACTTGAATTCATAGTTTATTGATTCGTTTTGGGGAAAAAGCATTGTTTATTTATACGTCCACTTTTTATTAACCCATCGCGTCCCCGTTTCCACACGAATCGTTTTGAAAACAGCCCTCTCTGTAGGTCATCTATGTTTAATTAACACACCCAGAGCGGTGTATAATAACACAGAGAGTCCAGGATTGGATTAGAACTTTCGCCCTATCTAAAAGAATGTTTACTATTTTTTTATCATCTACTAAGTTTAATAAATTCGGTTATGTTAATTAATCTTTACGATTTATAATTTAATAATATTGATTAAGTAATAATTGTAATGTTATAGGTAATATTTGATTTGATTTTTTTTTTGTTGTTACGGTACTGATTTTATGACGTATGCGTAGAACGAACGCAACTACCTCTCTCTATTAGAACTCTATTATAGATCAATTCATCAAACCAACATCGTAGTTGCCTTCGGGTACAACTTATGCAACAAAACCACGGCTACAAACATTCTATCTGTCCAGAAGTTCAGAACCGGTTCGACTGATTACACCTATAAGTAAACGCGCTTACGGTCCTGTTTTATCATTTTATCGTAACGAATCGTACATCTCACACATCGCTCGTTTATAGTCTCTCTCTCACAATAACTTTCACTTTCTTTCAAATCAACTTTAGCTTCACACGACGTTCGACATCGATACGAAAAACATCCCTTTAAAGAACTAATTGAAGAATTTTTTATCAACAACTTGAAAGTAAGAAGATGTTGAAATTAGTGGTTTTGCTCGGGTTTTTGGCTGCTTTTTGCGCTGCTGAGGTAAGTAATTGATAGCTAAAAGATATATTTTAAGTAGTTTATTTGTTGATAAAATTTTTATTGATTTCAATTTATTTATACCATAAATTAATTCATAACATAATTTTCGTATTATAATTTAAATTATTGTTTTGTTAATTTAAAATAGAATTTTTAATGATTCAGAAGGAATTTTCCTATTTCGTCATGTTCCCCCTACTCATGAAATAATTTAAATTTCAAATTACAAAACAAAAAGAATTATATTATTTAGCGATTGTGATTTTAACAATTTGTTATCGCTACTGTTAGTTTACAATTATATAAAAAGAATAAATTGTAATCTTATTTGTATACACATTAAACTCCTTTCTTATCGATTCACGTATTGCTTGAGGCATTTTAATAATAATCTAATCTATTCCTTGTTGTAAAGAATAATGTTTAGGATGAAAATAAAATTTTGTTCAAAAAATAAAAAACCACCTGTAGCTTATTTATAGGTCCGCACTTGCGCATGTTCCGCATTGTACAAAACGGTCAATAATATGTTGAATGATGTAAGAAAGTGCCTGACCTACATAAATACAAATATAATAAAAAAAAGAACAAAAGAATCCCGCTATCACTTCTGACCAAAAACATCACTGCTCGATCAATTTAATTAAACTGGAACTCTCGAAACGATCTCTCATTAATATTGTCGAAAGATACGCCACACACATCCAACGTCTTCATTATTACTAAATGTGATTAAACAATGTGCATGGTAAGAGGATCAGAGATAATTTCGAAGTGAAACAATTAAGTTATTTACTTTAGTAGTTTTAGATTTTCAAGCTTTAGTGATCAAAACAAGAATCGGCCCTGCGTAATCTATACTCATACTAATCTCATAATTTGAGTACTGTTTTTGGACTCTATCCAAATGATTTAGACGTTGTAGAAAAACACTGGTCAACCTATGAGATTAATATGATCCACTAGACTGTGTTTAGACAACATTTAAATCATTTAGATGTCATTCAAAAACTGTACTCAACCTATGAGATTAACATGATTCACTAGATTGTGTTTAGACAACTTTTAAATCATTTAGATGTCATTCAAAAACTGTACTCAACCTATGAGATTAATATAATTCACTAAACTGTGTTTAGACAACATCTCAATTTTTTTTCTTGGACAATTTTGAATCTTTTCTTGTCTGGTAATGAGTCTAAATCAACGAAATGGAATCTTTGCTAATCAGAAACAGTGAAAACATGGAGAGCCAGTTTGGCTTCTTAAAAAACTTCCACAGATTTTTTATGGAATAAGGAGGGTTAAAATTATTCTGCCCACAACTCTCTTGTAGACAAGTTTTCAAAATGAATATGCGATAATCATCTGTGATAAGAGCAATAGGACAAAATCAACCAAGACCATGAAAGTCTTGCTGAAAACGGTGATCATTTACAAATAGTAATAGAGGCAGGACGAACAACAAAGTGGTTGGAAAAGATGCAAAAGATGTGATGGCCACGTCCATGATTGATGCAAAAAAGAAAGCTCTGAGTGTTAAGCAGAAAACAACATATTGATTACTAAAGACTACTTGTACCTCGAATTTGCTAATTTTTGTTTAATGCGAAAGGTATCTAAGATAGACTAGAGTTGCAAAATTGATTATCTACCATTAACGTAATAAAAACTTTTTAGTTATATTTGAATATGGACAAACATGATACATTTCTTGAAACTATTTTGTTTTTTTTTTTTTCAGAACAAAGGTATTGCTATTATTACAACTGGTGTAAGTGGAGTATCCGGATCACTTACTTTCACTGAACTAAGTGGTGGAGGAGTCCATATTGTGGGTACTATCAAAGGATTAACCCGCGGTAAACACGGGTTCCATATCCATTCAAAGGGAGATTTAACCGACGGATGTGGATCAACAGGATCTCATTTCAATCCATACAACGTGAGCATTACTTTTAGCATTATTTACATTAAATAATTTTTTTGTTGATTCAGAAAACTCATGGTGCTCCTGACGCTGAACATCGTCACGTTGGTGATTTAGGAAATATTGAAGCGGGCGCAAATGGAATTGCCACCGTAGATATTACCGATAAAATCATTTGTTTGACTGGTGAAACTGGAATTTTGGGACGAGCTGTTGTGGTCCATTCTGGGGAAGATGATCTTGGATTGCAAGATACCGATGAATCGCACACCACTGGTTCTGCAGGTTCACGAGTTGGATGCGGAATAATAGGCATCTTGTAAATCTTTTACTTTATTCTTAGTGCCTTATTTGTGCTTTGTATCGTGTAAATATAAATCTACGTTTGTTGCGTCTTTCCTTCTTTTTTTATCCCTTCTGTTTTCAATTTATTTCAATTTCTGCTGTTTTGTGCTAATAAAAGCTTAAAAAATGTATGTTGCTACCTAGTTCTTATTTGTTGTGAGTGTAAATCAACTTTATTAAAACTGGTGTATATTTTAGATCTGATGATTTCAAGTTCAGTGGATCGGGATATGTATCGCCAAATATCTTAATGTTGTGTGGTGCATCACTTTTAATATACTTCAAGCACTGGTGAAGTTTAATGGAGGATCTATAGTAAAAGAATGCATCGTTTTACCCAAATTTTAAACATTACCAAATAATAACAGAATTAATTAATTATAAATATGATACTGTATTATATGTGTAATTTTAACATAAATCAGTGCCTAGTCATAACAATAGTTGAATGTATTTTCTTACCTATTTTAAGACCTACTTGTACTTACTCTAAAGTTTGTGTGTTTTATTTAGTTTTAAAATAAATTATAAAAATAAAGTTTTTCTCCTAAGCTCGTCTTTTTCTTATTTTACTTATTTATTATAATATTGTCAAAATTTTAAATTATACAATCTCAAAATAGATCAATTTATTCATTTAAAAGAACTTTTTCAGAGGTGTAGTAGAAGTTTTTTTTTGTTTCTAACTAGATGCTACTAATGGAAAACTAGATATTGCTGCCGAATGATTGGATGCTGCTGGCAGAGGACTAAATACTGCTAATGGAAGATTAGATATTGCTTCAAGATGAGTAGATACTACTTGCAGATGATTGGGCACTGCTTGTAGATGACTAGATTCTGCTGGATTTGGAGATTCTGCTGATAAATGGCTAAATATTGCCAATGGAAGACTAGATGATGCTGGCAGAAAACTAGATACTACTGATGGAATATTAGATGTTGCTGGCAGAGGACTAGATACTGCTAATAGAAGACTAGACACTTCTTCCAGATGGGTACAGACTGCTGGCAGTAGACAATTTAGTACTACTGATGAAAAAATAGTTACTGCATAAAGATGAAAAGACAAGATATTTATCAATACAACAGAACAACATTAATAGCATATGAGATAACTCATCTGCACTTGGAGAGTGTAAAAGTTTCATAAACTATTTATTCTGTATTAACTACACCTTAATGACCTGTATCAGTAAAGATATGGAATAGGGATTAGAAATTACAGATTAGATAGAAAATTAAAAAAAGGATTATTCAAGTCAATCGTATTTCTCGTATTTCCGTACAACTTTAGAATACTTCGTAAGTTTCATTTCTATATGTAGACTAAAACCACTAAATATTATATATAATGCAACCTGAAACAGGAGTCATCAAACCCTGTGTCTTGCATGTTCAAGTATCGATCGACATTTGTTGTTTGGATTGAATCTAATTTTCTGTTTGTTATGCACTTCAATTGATGTATAACGTTGTTGTTTTAATAATAAATAAGTTGTGTGTCAAATCTAATGATTATTATATTTATTTAAAAAAAAACATAAAGAAAAATTAAATTCAGTATAAAGCAAATTCCAAATATAGGTCTGATCTAATCGACAAAAGTAAAACTGTTCTAGAACGAAGGGTGTTACGCTGCACTCTCACCCTTAAAGTAAACTATACAAAGAAGTGGTAGCTATGGAAACTATACCAATACAAACATTTCTTCTCCAATCGTTGAACTACCGCGGAAATTGTTAAACCACCACAGTTTTCAAATAACTTTCCACCAGCAGACGTTAACGAAGAATAAAGAAATAAAGAGGTGCGAAAAATTAAATAAAAATCTTTTAAAAAATATGATGGAAACTTGCTCAAGCAATTTCATCAAATACGTGCTATTTTTATTTAATTTAATATTTGCAGTAAGTAATTTAAATTTCATTTTATTTAATTAAATGAGATTTATGTTATTTATTATTATTTCTTGATAGATTTCTGGATTAGGTTTAATCATAGCTGGAGGAGTGGTTTACGCCAATGTAGGAGAGTTTAGTCATTTTATGGAAGGAAGAATTTTAGCACCACCCATCCTTTTAATCGTTGCTGGTTCCATCATTTTTATTATAGCTTTCTTAGGTTGTTATGGAGCCATTAAAGAATCTTATTATCTTCTTATAGCAGTAAGTATTTTTTTTTGATCATTTGAAATGCATAATTTTATTCAAAACGTGACAACATAACTATAATAGATCGCGTTTTAATGGTAACTCATAAAACAACCCATTAACCCACCGTTAAGGTGATAAGTTAAAAATAAAACGTGATTAACCCCTTCTGTAGATCTGATAAGGAGATGGCGCGACGTTCGGGTCAAAGTTCAATGTGGCGATTTGACCCGAAAAAGGGTCAAAAACCTGAATATATCACAGGGTAATAATTTATGTGTCCGAAATACATTTTTATCGTGTCTAATGTAATAAAATTACTGTTGACCTTTATGGAAAACGTATCGTGCGTTTCCATCGGTTTGGTGTAAAAATGCTGCGCAAAAGCACCCCACCTTAAATTTGCATATCAATAAAGGTAAAGGTTGACTCCCACTCCCCACACAATGTCATGTTTGGTGTTACAAATGTGTTGTGTAATCATTTTTACAAAGGATATAATAATGATCTAATTTAGATTTTTTGAAAAATTGATTACTGATGCTTACCAAGAAAAAATATATAAAAGCATGACTCATTTATTATGTGTTTGAAAAAATAATTTCTTTTTAAAACAATTTTTGATTGATTTTACAAAATATTCAAAACATAGAAAAAGTCAAAAAACAACATAATGAAAAATTCGCAATAATCAATGCATGGTACATTTATCGCGAAAATGATGAGATTCTATCAGAACTTTGGTGATATGATATTCCCAAGATTATGTACATCTATTTTTTTAACCTTTCAACTCTACACAAACTTACAATTCCACACAAGCTGATAAAGTGTCAACCTTAATGAATGAAATTCTTGCTAAAAATGTAGTGGGCGAAAAAAGATGCAAAACACTTGAACATTTTGGAAATACCAAAACATTAGCACTACATGTAAGATGTCGGAAAGAGAAACCTAGTAGATGGAAGATAAGTAGTTATGTGAAAAAAAATGCACTGGAAGATTGGTTACCTTGATAATAAATGTGTTGGATAGAGAACAAGATGCCAGAAGGAATGTGATGTTGTTTGGAAGACAATAACAGACAATGGTGAAGACTAGATGTAGAAGACAACTGGATGTAAAAAGATTTTTTGCCAAAAATCAAAGAAGAAATGCTAGATCAATAATGCCAAAATGAATGGGATGTTAGATGACAAAAAATATAAACAATTAGACATAAAAGTGAATGATTAATGAAGATATTGGATGGCAAAATGGTGTAGACAGAAAATATTAGAGTCGTAATGAAAGATGACACCAAAAACAAAAACTTGCTAAATGGAAAAACAAGTAAACAAATAAATGCAAGAAAAAGTTGTACAGTGATACCATAAAAATGCTGGATTTAGGAAGGTACTATATAACATTTTTTGCAACTCACACGAAAGATATCAACTTAAAAACTGGTTCCTGGCTTTGACTTAATTTTTCACAACTAACTGAAAATAACTTTATAACCATTGTCTTGAATGGTGTAATACGAATAACAGAGCCACAGTACAACATAAATAATGATTTAAATATTGAAAGATTGTTAAATATTGGTCAGCCACTTTTCCAAGCCTTTCCTCCAGAATAAATCTCGGACATTCTCTCGTCTTCTTTGCCTTTACTGTCTAAATTAATGACTGCTATTATTAATGTGCGCGGTCTGCAAAAAAAATCATGTACTATTTTATATTATTTAGTATATAATAATAATCTTCTATTTTTCTTTCAGTTTGCTTTATGTCTACTCTTAATCCTTATCGTCGAACTCGCAGTAGGAATAGCAGCGGCTGTTTTCAAAAATGATTTTGAAACCGTAATGAAAGACACCTTAAAATCTTCTATGGATAAGTACTTGAGTAACAAAGCTGATAGAATGGCTTGGGATCACATACAAACTGAAGTAGGCAAATTAACAAAAATTTTAATTTAAATTGTAACTTATCTTTTTATGCGTTTTAGCTTGAATGTTGCGGAATTGAGAGAGCAGACGATTGGCCAAAAGGCCAACGTCCATATTCTTGTTGTCACGCCTTGAACCCCGACGACACTCCACCGGATTTCAATCAATGTCAAAATGCTCAAAATGTTGATCCAATTTTGTACTCCACCGGGTGCTTGGAAAAATTGAAAATGAAAACTTCTTCAAATGCTTCTATTTTAATCGGAGTTGGAATCGGCATTGCTTTTATCGAAGTAAACAAAAACAATACTAAATCTATTTCTTCTCTTATGATTAATGATTTTTTTTATTTAAGGTGATTGGAATCGTTTTAGCTTGTTGGTTGGCGACTGCTATTAAAAAGAAAGAATAAAACGTAACTAAGTAAGTTTAATATATTCACACATTTATATTCAGGATACATATCATCGTATTTGTAAAATAAGTACTAGAATGTGTAGAAAATGAGTGTTAAATTTAACGTTAAAAAATATATTATTGATTGTTAGAATGGAAAAAAAATTTAATATCTATTTGTTGTTAGTGTTCATGTAGAACGTCACATTTAAATAAAATGATATATTATATGTACTAATTTATAAAGAATTTTAAATAAATATAAAGATCTTTTTGAAAAGGTGTAATATGTGTTGCCTATCCACTACAAAAAAATTAAATGTAGATCGTTACTAAAAATTTTTTGTTGTTTTTGCTATACTCTGTTTTTAAACCAGGAGGAGTAAACGCGAAAGTCAGATTTACACTGGAAAAAATCACCAGAAAATATCACTAGATATTTTGGCGGTAAATTTAAATTAATAATTATTATTTATTTATTTACTTATTATTGTATTTATTTTCGTTTGTTATCGTCAACACTATACATACAAATTAACATTGAAGTTATGAGTGTATTTATTTCAAAATATAATAAAAAAGGGTTTAAGAACACAAAATATACAATAATGACACGAAACTGTCGAATTATCAATTACCTAACCTTCAAATTCAAAATCAAAATTCAAAATTGCCTGTGTGTGAACCTTCCTCGCATTCAACCAATCACGTGCAAGGTCAATCTGGTGACAAATTTAAAATACTCCTCCTGGTTTAAAAACAGAGTAAGTATAGTAACCACGGACGCTTTTTGTGCTTTATATTTCTGCAATGCGTAAGTAGTAAATATTATTGGACTTCAATGTCTCTGATTATAACAAGAAAAATTCTGACTTAAATTGAGGTGATTACTGATTACAGAACCATATGAATATCAAGGGCTTCTCTAATGATGATACACTTCAACGTTTGTCTAGTTCGGCGAAGAATGTTTCTGCAGAAAGGCCAGAAACTCTGAAGGTTTCAACTGATTTTAGACCCATATCGATCGCATCAACACCAGATGAAGAAGACGAACAGCAGTGAAGATCTCAGAGGGCTACCTTAATGTCAAAAACCCAATACAATATTTTGAGCGTTATTTAAACGCAGAATTCTTTGCAAATATGTGTTTTTTGTACAAATGTCACGTTCTACTCGTGAACAGAAAAATACTATTGCTACCTAAATTCTACACTTCATAGGGTGTGGCATTATTTGATTGTTGGATATGCCAAGAATAAAACAGTATTACACGATCTAATGACTGGAAAATACATTTAATAATTTCAGAGTTCTTACCTCACACAGGAAGATGTGTCAAAACAACTTGTGAAAAGTAATACAAAGCCGAAAGGGATAAAAAATTTTGTTGCAGAGAATCCTGACGTATTAATTTGATTTATATTTGTTTGAAGGTAAAGGGTCTTCAGCGGAATCGGCTTTCTATCCAACACCTGAAAAGTTGTAAAAAATAAAGATAATAGAACGGTAGGTAAAAGAATGGTACTGAAGTTGCAAAATACCTTATCAGTAGACACTTCAATTTACATGGATCATTATTTTACCTCTATATATATTCTGCCAGAAGATGTGATTAAAATCCTTAGTTTTTGCAAAATGTCAGCAGTGTAACATAATGTTTCCATTCCACTAATTACCCAGCTATGGACTAAAAAAAGCCACTTAAAACAGGCAATCAATAGTTGGAAGGCCTCAAAGGTAGCTTTACGCTGAAAAGAACTTCCAGGTCACAGACAGGCGAAGAGTACAAAATCAAAGAGTTTCATTGAGGTTTCAATTATTTTCTTACGCATGTCACTTTTAATATTTAATTAATATTTTGCCTATTGAAATATTAAATGTCATTAAATGTCGTTTTGGATCATTGGAATCTTACGATGAAAGAGCATATAAACAAGACTTCATTGAAGTTTCCTAATAATTCAACGAAACTATTGAATCAAAATAGCAATGTTTAAAAAATCTACATTTTGTAATCAATTTAATATAGCAAAAATAGTTTAGTATAACGGACTTTATAAAAATAAAATTATATATCAACGGTAATCTTTGAAACCAATTCATGATACTCCACATTACTATTTATTTTGGTTAACGACCTAGAATAAGATCCGAATTATCTTTTCATTACACAACGACAGTTAATGTTTATTTTTCGAAACATATACAAAGATAATATTTAAAAAGAACCTTCTCATTGAACTCAGACATAATTAAGAAAAAGAATTTCATCTTTATATTTATAGAAACAAAATTTTTTATTCGTCCGGACAAAGTTAAATAAATATGAACTGGACTCTTCGTACCTTGACCACGAGACATAAATCAAGAACGAAAAAATTGTAATTAAAGCCTTTTAAGATAACACAACATTGACCTTCATCCACTTTTTTTGGTTCAATTATATTTATTTAATGCGTTGTAATTGACGCATTTAAAACCAAGAAAGTGGAAAAACTAAAATCTTAAAAATCAAACAAACACTGTTGACTCACTCATTATTGACCTGTAAACTTTCCATAAACGTTTAATATCGTCTTTGTTATCATTAAAATAAGGAAAATTTCGTCAAAGGCGTGTAAACAATTAAGTTTTCGATAAGACATTCTTCAAACCAGATATCGCCGAACAGTGCAGAGTATATAAAAAGATTTTCAACTGACAATTATATTTAATATTCTTAAAAACTTTGAAAGAAAACGATGTCTTCAAACGACTTTTATGAAATTGAAAATTTAACCGATTTAATTTGCGAGAAGGTACTACCAAAAATTATTTAAATCAAAAATTAAAAATATTAATTAAGCAAAAAATTTTATTTATTTAGAATGGAGGAAAAATCGTATTTGCAACTGACGATTGGTTTGCACCGGCTGAAAATCTTTTATTGAATGAAGATCCAGTTTTTAAAGTTGGCGTTTTTACAACTTACGGGAAATGGATGGACGGGTGGGAAACTCGAAGAAAACGTAAACCCGGCCATGATTGGTGCGTTATTAAATTAGGACTTCCAGGTGTTATTAGAGGCGTGGAAGTTGATACTGCTTTCTTCACGGGAAATTATGCACCACAATTTTCAGTTCAAGCAGCTAATTTAACATTAGAAGGTTGGTTCCCACACAATTCATATTATTAATTAATATACAAAAATATTAACATTTATTTTAGAAGTAAAAAAGTTTCCTTCAAGACCTCTAAATTCCATTGGTACAGAATGTAGTCAAAAACATTTAGATCAAATCAATCAACTCCACACAGACGATTGGACTGAAATTATTCCAATGACACCATTAAATCCTGGTTATTTAGAATCTCGCCACAACTTTTTTAAAGTTGACACCAAAAAATGTTTCACCCATATCCGATTAAACATGTTTCCGGATGGTGGAATAGCAAGATTAAGAGTTTACGGTGATGTTCATTACACAATAGACATGAATAAAAAAGAAGAAATCGATTTGATCGCTTTAAAAAACGGAGGTTATTGCCATAGTTATTCGAACGCTCATTATGGACATCCAAAAAATTTAATTCGCCCCGGAAGGGGTAAAGACATGGGAGACGGCTGGGAAACGGCAAGAAGAGCTGATCGTCCTCCAATTTTAAAAATCGACGAAAACAACATTTTAAAAGTACCCGGAAATGAATGGGCGATACTCGGTTTGGGTTGTGTCGGAAAAATTGAACGAATAGAAATTGATACAGCACATTTTAAAGGAAATTATCCGGATTGTGTTAAGATTGAAGGAGGAATTTTAAATAGTGATGAATTTGAATGGAAAACGGTTTTACCAAGTTCAAAATTATCGGCACATAAAATCCATCAATTTGGGAATATTGATATTTTAAACAACGAAAGTCCATTTACGCATGTTAAAATAATTATATCTCCAGATGGTGGATTAAGTCGTGTTAGAATATTTGGGAAACCAATAAGTAATTTATTAGGAGTATATTAAATAAAGTTTTTGTAGTTTTATATTATCGTTTATTTTATTCAATGTATGAAATTCCTGTTTTATCCACTATCCTTTCTTTATTCCCCCTTCCTACTCTATTTCATAGAAACTTCTATTAATAATAATAACAACAAAATATCTGAAGGCTAGAAAAACGCTCAGATGACGTCAACCCACTGACGAATGGATTGATGAATGAACTAGAAGAATACCAGCCTCCGGAACAGGCAGGTTTCCACAAGCAGTGCAGCACAATGGAGCACATTTAGACAATATGTACTATATCTACCTTTTTTAGACACATATGCCTGCTCCGTAAAGCAGCCCTTCCTCAAACGTAGTGGTCTCATCCGATTCTTTGCGTTCTGATAATAAAGCCCTTCTTGCTTCTTTAACCATATCTGTGAGGTTCCGCTCAGCGAATTTAACGCGGCACGCATCGGCTTCTTCACAAAAGTTATGGCAAGTTGGGCCTATAACAAGGCTTGAAGCTTCATTATCTTCATTATACTGTTGTAGCCATCATTATAGTAGCAAGTAGCCAAGTCTGTCTAGATCGAGGACTTTTTTGCCACCTGCAACAGATTTCGGTGAGATCTACCACACCATTGCATTGAGGCTTTCGTTGCTATTCTGAGTAAAGCCTCCGATGCACCTAGTTAAAAGTTCTTCTTTGCTCAGATCGTAGGTAGAGCTTCGAAAACTTCATGGCGCATCAGCGGAAAATGTTGAAACAAAACTTACATTTTCGTATAACCTAAAAGTGTCAAAAAAGATGCTAATTTAAAAATTCCTGGAAGCCGTATTTATTGAAATTAAGGAATAAGACTTGTTCTAACTTAAAGCTCAATGCTTTCTCTTTAAAATGATGTATAATAATTGTTGGGTTGGATTGGAAAAATATTGAGAAAAAAAATGTTGAAACAAAACTTACAATTTCGTATAACCTAAAAGTGTAAAATAAGATGTTAATTTAAAAATTCCTGAAAGCCGTATTTATTGAAATTAAGGAATGAGACTTGTTCTAACTTAAACCTCAAAGCTTTCTCTTTAAAATGATGTATAATAATTGTTGGGTTGGACTAAAAAAATATAGAGAAAAAAAATATTGAAACAAAACTTACATTTTCGTATAACCTAAAAGTGTTAAAAAAGATGCTAATTTAAAAATTCCTGGAAGCTGTATTTATTAAAATTAAGGAATGAGACTTGTTCTAACTTAAAGCTCAAAGCTTTCTCTTTAAAATGAGGTTTAATAATTGTTGGGTTGGATTGGAAAAATATTGAGAAAAAAAATGTTGAAACAAAACTCACATTTTCATATAACCTAAAAGTGTCAAAAAAGATGCTAATTTAAACATTCCTGGAAGCCGTATTTATTGAAATTAAGCAATGGGATTTGTTCTAACTTAAAGCTCATAGCTTTCTCTTTAAAATGATCTATAATAATTGTTGGGTTGGATTGGAAAAATATTAAGAAAAAAAAATGTTGAAACAAAACTTTCATTTTCGTATAACCTAAAAGTGTCAAAAAAGATGCTAATTTAAAAATTCCTGGAAGCCGTATTTATTGAAATTAAGCAATGGGACTTGTTCTAACTTAAAGCTCAAAGCTTTCTCTTTAAAATGATGTATAATAATTGTTGTGTTGGATTTCTCTCCAGCCATATCCCTGTAAAATATATCATTACAACCCAACATTTAAATTTTGTTCAAATAATTTTTTATACTACTTCCAAAAAAATCCTTTCTTAATTGATTAAGTACACATTTGTATGCCTTTTCATTTTCTGGTTCTTGTAATTCTTTTAAAGATTCTCATTTTCATTAGATCACCAAAGGAAACTGTAGTAATATCAAGCTTCAAAATCAAATCTTTCAGGCAAATTGCATAGTTCAAAGTTTCTTAAAATTATTATGGGTCATCAAAAGATTTTGAAAACAAAGCCAAATAAATATATTCTTAGAACAACAATTTGTATTTTATTTTTTGATCACATAAACTGGAAATATAAGCCCCATATAAACTTCATTAATACTTAATAAGTATCCATCTCGAAATAAACAATATAACTTAATCTCTTAATTAGTAAGTTAATACATGTGATATACATAGTTAGTTCCGAAAATACAGTTAATTTAAAAATATGCATATCCAATTTTTAGTACATACACATTCGAAAAATATATCCTGCAATTTATCGAATTGCGACGCGACAAACTCGTTCTCTCTTTACACTCTAATATCCACTTAAAAACTAGAATGATGTTAGGTCCTATTTTTAGATTTAACCAAAACGTTAACATTTAAACATTCAGTTAGGTTATGTCAGTTGAATTTTTGTAGTTAATTTATTAAACAACTTTGTGCATTGTTCAAATACTATTGTTAATTAAATAATTTTTTCGTACTTTATCAACAACAACATTCAGTTATATTTTTTTTTTATTTGTACAGACAGGATTAGAGCGAATTAATTTAGCATTTAATTATGTCGAAGAATTTCAACAGCTTGAGCAACTAATTGCTCATCAGTTAAATATAACGGTTCCAAAGGTTTTTTTTCCTCCTCACTTTGAGTGTTAGGATCTTCTCCCAAAGGTTTGCGTTTTGAAAATGAACCATGATATTCAGTAGCTTCGGTGTTATCAATAATAAATTTTAAGTTATCTACAGTTATTCCACCCCCTGGCATTATTATAATACGATTTCCAACTTGTTCCATCAATTTTTTAATCAATTTGACTCCTATTTGAGCATTTTCTTGTTTCCCACTTGTCAAAATCCTTGTAAATCCTAAATCGATAATAACCTCTATTTCGATAGTAGGCTTTCTTACTAAATCAAAAGCACGATGGAACGTAACCGGTAATGGAAAACAAGTTTTTATAATTTCCCTTGATGTTTTCATATCGACATCACCGTTTTCGAGTAATGCCCCAAAAACGAAACCATCGGTTTTGTATTTTCTTAATACTTTTGCATCTTCCCTCATAATTTCAATCTCTTCGGGTGTGTAAATGAAATTTCCACCGCGACACCTCAACATACAAAAGATGGGGATGTTTGTGGGATTTGCATTTTGGATTTGCATCAAAAGTCCAGGAGTTGGTGTTAAACCGCCCTCTGATAGTGCTGAACACAATTCAATGCGTGCTGCACCGCCGGCAAAAGCGGCCATCGCAGACTCAAAATTATCAACACAAACCTCCAACGATTTTGGCATTTTTAACCTAAAAAAACGACGCGATTTTTTCGTACGTAAAATAAAAACACCGAACACTGTTGAAATCCCGCACTCAAATTGATTACTTGTTTTATTTTTTTTGGTTAAAACAAATTAATTCACACTTGTTACAGACATTCGAAATCCACCACCGGCAAATTTCACCTCGTCGCCTTGCGAACAACTTGTCTTACTAGTTTCTTCAATGGCCGCAGTACGTCGACATGTACACTTTAATTTCTTTGCTTTTAAATATTTTCGTTTTATATCTTTAACATCTTCGCGTAATTTTTCAACTTCCAATTTATATTCCATATTTTGTAATTCAGTCATATTTAATTCGGATGCTAAACACTAAAAAAAAAAATAGAAATTTTATTGATTATTTAGGGATTTTCTTTTTTAAATGTTTTAGATGTTGATTTCTACTTTACCGACCTTCATTTTGTTTAAGTTCATAGTCAGCGTTCGTTGTGTTTTTGACAGCTGATCCATAACCTCAGGACCTGGTTGACGCTCAACTACGTTTCTTAAATTCAAATATAATCTTTCTACTTCTTTTAATTGTCTTTCACGTTCTATAGCTTGTTCAGATTGTCTTAAAAGTCTCCTAAATATAAAAAAAGAATTTAGAATAATATGGACTATGGTAATATAACCCCAAATTACAAATTCTGTTGGAATTAAACTTTTTTTTAACACACTACCAGTCCATGCAATTTAAATTTATAATTTCGCACAAACTCGATCTTTTTTTGGGTAGCTGTTTCAAACAACATTTAAATGTATACAGAGCTTTCCAAAACTCGCGGGACTGAGTTATAAGTTTTGAACGAGTGAAGAAAAAAATTTGAAAATTTGGGGATCACTAAAGAGTAATAAAAACTACACTCTTAGATAGTTTAGAACTTCATGCAATGTGGAATTTTTTTAGGGGACGAGCACCACTACATTTCTAAATAGTCGAGTTTTAGCTTATTTTAAAAGTAATGAAAAAAGAAACAACCCCATGATCCAAAACCCGATATCTTAATTCTTTTGAGAATTATGAGGTTTTCTTTCGACTGTTTTCAACATACTTGTTTTCTAAATTTGACTTTTAGTAACTCCAAAAAATGGCGCAAAAACTGACCGGAAAAGAAAGAATCACTCTTTTAATGATTCGTGGCTTTGGGGATAGAACAAAATCTTACGATGAAGTGCGGCACGTCTTCAATGATTTTTTTCATCAACGACCACCGATTTCTAAATCAACAGTCGAAAGAACTGTTCGAAGATTTCAAGAACTGTGAAAGATCTTCCGAGAACTGGTAGACCGAAATAACTATTTCCCCTATAAGTTTCACCTAATTCAGGAATTGAAGGAAGATGACTTCGAAAGAAGATTGGAATTCTCTGAAATAGTACGTGAAAAATGTGATGCTGACAAAAATTTTCTTTTGGATGTTGTTTTCTCTGATGAGGCTACTTTCTACTTGAATGGTAAGGTTAATAGGCACAATTGTCGTTATTGGAGTGACGAAAATCCACGTTTAATAAAAGATCATACTCAGAGACAGCAGAAAATTAATGTATGAGCAGCTGGTATTATGGGAGAGAATGTAATTGGTAGTAAAAAAATGGACCAAATTTTTTATTAATGGAAATTTGGACGGAAACAGATGTCTGCATCTGTTAGAAAATCAAGTAGTTCCAAGTGTACGTGCTGTATGCCCTAATGGTATTGACAATAAGTGGTTCCAACAAGTTGGTGCTTCTCCACATTTTAGTCGCGTAGTCCGAGACTTTTTAGGCCGCACGTTTCCAAACCGTTGAAACCGTTTCCAAAACCAGAATCAATANTTGAAATCGATTGAAAATGATCTCCACTTTCTGGAACGTGTCAATACTAACGCCCGAGCATGGAGTGTCACACTTCAACTTTTCCAAGGCCAAAAAAAGCAAGAATGAGCAAGTCGAAGATCAAATGCATGCTGATTTGGTTTTTCGGTATCCAGAGAATCATCCACAAATAGTTTGTGCCTCAAGGCAAAATGGTCAATCAACACCTTTACCGAGAAGTTCATCAAAAACTACGAAAAAGGATCATTTGTGTGAGACCAAACATCAAGAACAACTGGGTATTGCATCACGATAATGCGTCTTGTCACACAGCAATTTCAACAAACGAGAGTAAAAACATTCCTGTGGCTCCTCATCCTCCTTATTCGCCTGACTTGAGTCCTTGTGACTTTTTCCTCCTCCCGAGATTAAAAAATCACCTCAAGGGAACTCATTTTGGGATACTCGAAAATATTTAAACGGCTGTAACCGACCAGCTGAAGGCTATTCCAGTATCGGAGTTCCAGCACTGCTATGAGGATTGGAAAAAGCGTCTCCAGCGCTGTCAGGCTTCAGAAAGAAGTTATTTTGAGGGAGACAAAATTGAATTGTAATTCTTATCAAAGAAAAAAATTCAGTCTCAGTAATTTTTACAACAAAGTTTAACAAATTTATAATAGTTTTGGACCCCTTCGAAATTTACAAACCTTTCTCTACACCATATAATATAGTACAGTGTTACCAAACTGGTTCATTAACTTATACAATGTTTTAATAACTTACTTTTGAAGTAATTGTAATCTTTGTAATAATTCATATAGTTCCGGATCGGAACCTTCAAGTTTCCTCCATCGATGAATATTCATAGGATTTTGTAATTCTTCTTCAAGAGCTTTACACTTTAAACGTTCTTTGACTAAATCCCTTTGCAAATGGAACACTTCTTGGCGTAAATCGGTCATGTTCGAAATGCTTTTAGTCAGTAAGCCCTTATCTTGACGCAACCGACGAATTTCTGTTTTTAAAAGTCGAATATCTTCCAATCTTTGATCGTATTGGGCTTCCCCTAATAAGATTTGAATGTCAATCTGATCTTTTTAATTAAACTTATCTTACCTCTGTGTAAAGTGGTTTCGAGAATTTTTACTTTTTCGTATAATAAAGCTAATTCGTCATTTCTTCTTACGAGTTGGGAACCTAAAATATCTCTTTCATTCATTAATTGGTCTAAATCTTTAGCTTGTTGGCGTGTTAATCTATCGGCAGTCTTAAAAGAATTTGTTTGAAGTTAATATTAATTATATATTTAACGCAAGTTATTAAGTTACCATAATGACTTTATGAAGTCGTTTTTCTTCAGCTTTCATCTCAGCAATCTCTTGTTTTAAACTTCTTACTGCTTCATTAGCATTATCCAAGTCAACTCTGATTTAAACACTTCAATATATTTTTTTTAATTAGAAACAAATTAATATTTACCTCAAATTTTCTTTTTCTTTATTGACTTTCCTTAAAATCATCTCTTCTTTTATAAACAGTTGTTCCTTCATAGAAATATCTTCTTTAAGCTGTTCGGTTTGATGAGTACTTATTTTAAGTTTTCCCTTTAACTCTGCAGTTTCTGCGTTCGATTCTTGTAAAGTTTTTATCAAAGCGTTTCTTTCCGCACGAACGGCATCAAAAAGATTCAATTGCATCCGCATTTTATTTTCTTGTTCGGCAATATTTTTCTTTAATTCATAAACCTCTACCTTTTTCATTTTTTGTTCGTCCATAAAATCTTCAATTTGTTTCGTTAAATCTAATTGCTCGTCTACCATACGATCGCGTTCGTTCTCCAAATAACCGATTTGTTTAAGTCTTTTATTCCCTTCCATGATGTGATTATCGATTTCTTCTGCTAATTTTCTTCTGGCTTGTTCTTGAATTTTAATTAATTTAACATGATCCTTTGCAACGGCTAATGAGAAGAATGAAATAATTTAACGAATCAAATTTTAAAATTAAAACAAAAATTTAAACCTTGCATTCTCGTTATATTCTTAGTCATAACATCTTTTTCTCGCATTGTTTGATCTAACGTTCGTTTGTCTTGATCAGAAGATCGTTTCATAAGTTCGATTTCTCTCGTCATATTCGCTATAGATTGTCGAAGTTTATCTTTTTCGATATTACTATCAGCTCGATCTTGTTCCATTTTTTGTAGTTTGTGGTCTGCTTGATCTTTTGATTTACTTAATTTCCATAATTCGTTTCTTTGTTTTGCAGTTTCATCGTCTTTCATCTGAAAAGGAAGGTTTTAATAATGTTTCAATTTTTTAATAATTTCAAAAAAAGTAAAATACCCGAATTTCAGTCGATTTTTGGAGTAACTCTTTTTTTAATTTTTCATGATTAAAACAAAGATTATCCCAATCGTCTTGCATTTTTGCCGTTTTCTTTGACATCTCATCGTATTCTTTCATTGCTTTATCAGTGTTAACTTTTTGTGTTGCTATATGCATCTCTGCTTTAGATAAAGATTTTTGTAAAGAAGTTATCGTATCATTTAAGGTACTAATATCGCCATCTTTCTTTTCGATCGTTTGCATATATTCTTGTATATCACTGTCTAATTGATCTCTATTTTTTTTTAAACGTGTTATTTCAACGTTTTGTTCCTTAAAAAAAATTATTTTAATATGTTTAAACCAAAATGATTAAAAATTTCTTGATTACTTCAACTTGTTCGGCAAATTCGTTTAATTTTAAATCCGCGAGGGAAGTTCTTCTTTCCAATTCTTCTTGATAACTTAAAGCGTGGGTTAATTTTTCGGTTACTTTCGCGACTTCAGATTGCAATTTATCTCTTTCTCTTTGTAGTCCATCTTTGTGTTTGCTTACTTCCGTTTGTCTGGAAAATTAATAAATTTTTTCTTTATCGCTCAATTTAAAAATATATATTTAGTTTTTACTCTTCTTCTTGCCCCATCCGATTCTTAAATTCAATCTCAGCATTTAACCCATCGATTTGCTTTCTTAAATTATCAATGATTTCTTGAGCGGTTTGTTCTCTTGAGTGAGCACCATCGCACATTTTCCAAGCATATTTAATTTGATCTTTCAAGTCATTAATCGTTTTGCTATCGGTTTTCGCTAATTCTTTAGCGAGTTCGATTTGGTTCTCATCATCAGCGATTTTCATCTCGAGTTCTTCGCATTTTTCCGTTAAAGCTTTTTCGCTTTCGTGAGTTCTAAACAAAGCTTCAAAAACTCTGGTAAATTCTTCGGCGTATTGTATTAATTCCGGATTTTGTTCAAGTTCAGTCACAGTCTATTATAAAAAATTTTATTACAAAAAAATTTGAAACAATAAATCTTTCTTTTACCTTATTATAGTGTCTTTCAATAACAAGAAAAGGATAATCTGGATCTGTTGGATCCAAATCATCCTCACCTTCTTCTTGAGCATCGTTTAATTCTCCTAAGTCAGGATCATCCATGATTTTTTTTTACTAATAAAAAAGATGTTTAAAAAGTTTAATACAAAACGTTCAAGATTAACGTCAGCGAACAAGGAAATAAATGATGGAAAATGTGACGTTTTGGAAATAAAGGGAAATGAGTTTCCTTAGATAGTTAGATCAATAACTTGTTGGAGATATCTTTTAAAACGAAAAAAATTAAGTAAAAATTAGTTTATTAGAGATATGAATAATCCCCAAAACCCTTAAATAAAAATATACACGTTTATCACAAAATATTTCAGTACAATTAAACAATAATCGGCTAAGGCAAGGAGAAACGTCCGGTCATTATTTTTTTATTATCATTCTAAAACCTTCCTTTTAATATTTTTCGGATGTTTTGTACTGCGTCGTCCTAAGAACACAAAAAAAGATGGAAAAGAAAAACGTTGTCTAATAATTAGATTAATCGTTTGTCACAAATTTTTAAATACATTTTAAATGCAGAAACGCTCTATTGAAGGTATTTTTTACGTACAGATCGCTAAGTACTTGGTTTAAAAACAGATTAGTTTATTCATCCAAAAATCTCACTGTTAGAATGTTTCTTTTTTTTTTTTTTTTTGGTGTTTGTCCTTTGTAAGTGCTAAACAAAAGATATAACAATAATTATTAAAGTACAACGGATGTTTTCACAACCAACGGTTAAATCAGAAACACATTTTATATCGCAAAAACGTTTTTTTTTTCGAATTTAATCTAATTTATTGCGTAGGGTGTCTCAGATAATTGATTTACTATAGAAAATTTTGAAACGATAGCGATTTTAAATAATTCTATTTCAATTCCACTTAACAATCCATCCAGGAAAAGGTAATCAGAGAAATTGGAATAAAATGGGACGGCACAATCTTTTATCGAAAGAACTGCTGGAATACGCCGATGATATTGAAATTATGAGTTGTAGAAAGAAACGCGAAGGAATGCTTCATCGCACTGGAACAAGTTGCAAAGAGAAGTCAGGAACCAGGAGAAGTCAAAGTACGTAATGTCCTCAGAAAGATTTTCGGACCCTTGATGGAACAGTCGCTTGAGAGTATCATGTCATGGATGATTTTAAAATCCTGAAGGTGTCTAGACAATGGAGGTTGCAGAATGGGAGAGGATTTTGCAGAAATTATCAGAATTTATAGAATTCGTCGTCGAATACTCCACTCATCATAGCGTCAAAACTTGTGAGTAACTTCCAAAATGTTATGGTACACGATGTGACTGGATGTGTTAGATTACCATTAAAAAATATTAAATGGTTCTTTCATAACGCAGAAACGTTAGCTGAGAATTCTGAAATTATTATTTCCATACATATCTATGCGATTTTGAAATGTTTGAGTTGTGCTTTTCCGCTGGATGCGAATAATTAGGCAACAATATTCGTGGTACTTGATGAACGTGACCGACAAACATATTTGTAACTCTTTTTAATAATGTGTACAAGAACAATTTTAAAAATCGGATCGAAATTGATCATTTTTCTGAGATTACAGAATTGGAAATTTGGAAACATAACCCTATAGAATAAACATACCAAATTCAAAAAATAATATGTTGATAACTTTAAAAATTTAACTTCAAAGCATGATATCTTTATCAATGATTTGCGATTGTCAATACAAAAAGCTTTAGCATAATTTTATTAAAAACCTATTTCGTTACAAGAAAGATTTGTATATCAATATCTCTTATTGTTTCCAAATTCTCTGTAATATAGTGATAATCTGAAACACCCTATATATTTTTTTATTTTATTTAACGGTTAAATCACACTATAGCTTTATGTACAGTAATTTATATTTAAGAAGTTTTTTTCAAGTTAAAAGAAGATTGAAGAAGAACTTTGTTTGAAATTGCCTTAAAGCTTAGTTTTTTCATTAGCTGAATCACGATCACTTTTTCTTTATTTTATCGTTTTTAAGGATTAGATTTATTTACAACTTTTAAGAAAGGTGTTGTAGTCTTATTCTGTTGTCAAAGTTCAAAGTACGTTTCTTTAAGCACATAATCGTAAATTTAACAAATCAAATTTGATTTTTTTTAAGTACTGTTTTCTTTTGTTAAGAAAATATACAATTTTCTAAATAAAAATTTCTACGTTATAAATGAGATTTTATATTAATTGTGCAATGGTTTTCTACTTAATGTATACTGAAGGTTGAAATGGACCTAAAAATGTTTTTAATATATTAATATGTATTAGAGAAATATTAATATATCAAAAAGAAATTTTTAGTTTTTATTGATTTGGGCTATTTTCTGTGTGGTTGCAAATCAAGATTTTTCGTTGTAAAAAACGCACATGTCACAAACACATTAAGTACTTAAAGCTTTGAAATTAAAATAAACACAAAATCCATTCACAAATTGCACAATATAAAAGAAATTTACAAAAAATAGCAGAACATCCGGTTTTTTTTATTATGTCTTACTCCCATTTTATTTTTTTTATGATTTCTTTCTTTCTTTCTCTTAACTTGTTTTTAATCTCACATGGTAAAAGGCGCCAGATGGTACAAAAAGCACTTATTGCAGACCCGAACCGGTTTTGTATGTCCGAATTTCGGCAGAGGAACGTTGTTGGACGAACATCGCGAACAAAAAACCTTTCCGCAATTCCGGCAGTGATGTCGTCTTTTAACGACGGTGAAATTTGACCCGCAACTCATACATTTCGGCGCTTCGACATCCGGTATCCAAATTGGCGGCCTTTCCGGACCAACCCCTGCTTCCACCGGAACAACGTTCCTTCCATCAACGCTCCTTTCGCCGTTTTCTATAATACCCTCAACGACGGCACTTCTACCGACATCTTCAACCGTTTGATCCGTTAAAGCATTACCGTCATAGCTTCCATCGTCGTTTATTTGAAAATAAACTGTATCGAAAAGGGCTTCTTGGGCGAGGATGTCTGGGTCGACGGAAAACTCTTCGTTTTCGATTACTTCGTTATCCGTCGGGTGATATTCTATGGAATCAGTTTGTCGCGATGGATCCGGATCGTTGGAGACGTTCATTAAGAATACCGATTTAAGGATGTTGCGAAGGTCGCTTGCGAAATTTGTTTGAAGTTGATCCGCTACACCTGCTATACAAACGTAAAGGCGGTGGATCAAATCTTCACTTGATCTAAAATTAAAAAAATATATAAATTTAATTCTATTTAAATTTCTAATAATCAGCGAAATAGTTATTTATTATTATTTCTTTTTTTTTAATCATGGAACCATAATTTGTTTATTTAGGTTTAACGCGATCTCGGGAGGATATGATGAAAGCTATAAAAAAATAATTGATCTGTACAATAGCCTTGGGGGCAAAACACGTTTCCCGAAGATGACACATGTTTTGCGTTGAAGCTGATGGAAGAAACTAAGCGTAACAAATATAATCATCCATAATTGCAAAAATATCTATGTTTTATTAACCAATTAGCGTCCAAAAGCAAACAAACGTTTTCTCTTTGATACTTAATATACTCAGATATTATTGATCAAATACACACTTTATACATGAAGCAAGCAGATGTTAAAAAGAGGAATATAAATTTATAAGAGTGCCAATTTTCCATATTTTTCTGATCAAAAATTGTACACAATATTACATGGTGTCACAAAAGTCCGGGAGCATAACTGTGCGATGCGGGAACTTTGTTAGTCATATTTGGCTACTAAAGACTTCTGCAAAAATCCACAGGATTCCTTTGTGCGTTTTTAGTTAATGCTGTCCATCGTAGGTGTCATCAGCTGGATTTCCCCTAGATTTTTTATCCAATGCACAATTCGTTGATCTATAGGGCCCCCGATCCCTATAGCATCCAGGATTATCCCAGAAGTAGAAGACCAAAAACTACCGTGACTCCCACCATGGTCAAGCGTATTCAGGGTAGTCCACCAGAATTCCAAAAGTTATCTCAAAAACATGGCTAAGGAGCTGAATATCAGCCATGAATCTGTGGAAAGGATTGTCAAACATCGTTTGGGGCTTCGTGGCTGAAGACCCAAAAGACCTATATTTTGATGGAACAGGGAGTCAAGATCAACTCCCAGAAGTACCTTTATGAGATTCTGATTAAGGAAGTGCATCCTTGGAGCCAGTTACACTTCAACGAACGCCCCCGCACAATATTCCATTATCAACTCCGAAGTGGCTTCTCTACTCGCTTGATTTGAACCCCCTAGACTTTTCCGTGTGGTCGGTTCTTGAGAGCAAGTACTCCCCACAAGAATCTCGACAGTCTGAAGCGCGCTTTTCAGAAGACATGGGACGATCTTTACATCGAATACTTCTCCGTCACGGTATCTGCGTTCCCCAAACATGTGCACGGCTGTATAAAAGCAAAGTACTAATAAGTATTAATTTTTGAATAAAATTTATGCCAAATTTCACGTCTCTAGGTGCTTCCGTTCTGTGTTTATCAATAGAAATACCGTGCTACCGGACTTTTGTGACACGACGTAAAAAACTTTATTATAAAATCAATTAGTTTGACAGTGCCCTTAAACATATGTAGATTAATTGACCCATTTCTGTCAAGGATCAATAATAACACATTTGCGAACAGTTTATGTCTAATCATAATAATAACCTTTGGCTTCAAATTCAGAATCGTATTCCTCCTCCTTCTTTACAAAAATAGCGAGTTGAACGCAAATCGATTAGATTAACGTTTCATGTGCGCAGATTTTAATTTCGTGAGCTGACAGATACAATTATTCATTAATGAGGAACGTAATAACTTGAAACTGATATTGTGAATGTATCGTGTAACCTGTAAATGAGTCACTTACCTAAATTTAGATCTCACTTCATTTCTAGTAGCAATTTCGGCAGCTTGAACGGCCATAGCAATTTCTTCATCATCTGCCGAATTGCTATTAAACGAAGAGGTGCTATCGCTGCTAACCACGCTAGAACTATCATCTTCCGAAATTCGACAATTTTCCCGATATCCCTTATTAAAACAGCCGCACTTTTGAGTTTTACTAGTACCAGGCACATTTTTAGAGCAAGTCCGACTAACGTTCCCGTTATTAAACGAGTTACTGTTATTATTGTTAACGCGTTTTTTCGATTTATTACACACTTTCGACGGTAAAACACAACTACAACACGCATTTGCGTCGTTTGAATCGAACGTTGGCGAACGATCCAAACTGGTATTTTCGGTGCATATTCCGGAATCGTCCGGGGATTCTAAATGTAGTTTGGCGCAGGTAATTTTCGTCTTTTTCGACGGTTTCGTCGTGTCAGTAATGGTTAGTATTGAATTTAAAGTAGCAGCCGCTTCGGTAATAATTTCTAATGAATCGTCATCTGGTAATGATTCGACTTTAAGCTGCTGATCCTGTTCTAAATCCGATTGTGAAGAAATCGCCGCTACGATTTTATCATGATCGACTGTGTTTGAAATTAAATAACCCGACGTGGATGGTTTGGATTTCTCCGATTGGAAATGATCGTAATCACGGTTTCTTTGGTACTCTTTGGAATCTTTCTTTTTTAACTTAACGCTACAGTCCGGCACGAAACTTTTACACAAATTACCGTAATTGGCCATTAGAAATTCATCCGATGCGTTACAGTCGGCCACTTTAAAGTCCGCGCTCGTTTCGTTATCACACAAGATCTTCTCCAAAACGAACAATTCGCGTCGCGTAAACGTCCAAAGCAATTCTCGTATTTTACGCAATAACGTCCTGAACGGCCGAAACATCTCACTCATCTCCTCCACCGGTTTATCTATCGATAATGGACCGTTTGGAAACACTAATAGACCACTGACGATCGCCAAACGAGGAATTGTAAACATCAAAGCCGGATCGCAATCGTCGACCATTTCTTGCGTTAACAAACCCATTTTAAGCGCTCTTTGAAGCGTTTCGGAAAATAGTACCCCAATTAGTTGCTGTAATTCGTATTCTTGGGTACTTTTCACGGGTACCATTGCGCTTACATAACATAGCTCAAATTCGGCAAAGAGTCGGTCAAAAATTTTTAAACTTTCTAAAAGTAGTTCTGTTACAACTTCGTTGGTGTTCAATTTTAGAGGACCATTAGGTTGGTTACAACGAAGGCAGGTTTCGCGTAACAGATTTCTTACATTTTCTAAACTTTTCGTTAATGCTTTTGCCAAAGGACGCATTGATTCACTTTCCACTTCGCGGTTCATTATTGATGAACCAGCAGCCAGACACTAATGACAATATGAAAAAGGCATGTAAATATAATTTGAAATAAATATATCAATACATTATTAATTACGAAAAGATAAAATTCCGAATATGAAGATATGTAAACGGTTTTACAATTTGTCAACATAAGTAAATCTTATATTAAAAGAAGTAAAAACTTTAGGGTTTTCTTCAAGTTGACTATAATTATGAACCAGAGGTAATGTGTGGGTTGCAGTCAAGGTTTGTATATAAGAGGTTGTCTAGGTTTATACGCAACCATACTGCGCATTACGTCATTGGCAGAAAATAATTCAAATTTTTAAAATAATGTAATCGAATTACTTTAATTTATTTAGTGTGGTATATAATTAACTGTGGTAGTAAAACGAAAAATAATTCTACTTAACTTTTGATATAAATTTACTTATGATAAAATAATTGAGGGAAACTAAAGTAGTAATTGATTTATGTTATACTAGAGAGGACACCTCATCTCTCACTAAACAAACATGAGCTTGAGGTTGCGCGCGCAATCCACTGCCACTTACGTCACAAAACACTCCCGCTCTTGACCCTCGCCCACAAACTAAAACCAAAGTATTGCAGTATAGGAGTCTAAACAACTTCTTATATAATATATAAACCTTGGGTTGCAGTAGGATGTCTCTATGTGTAAGCTCACTTAGACCTTCTGAGTTTCTTGCGCCCAGCAAAATGTATGTTTTTGTTATACTTACTTATTCTTTGTATTTGTTATATGTTAAAAAAAGAGTAAATAAATGTTTGTAGTGCAATGATACTTTTCTTGATTTTTTTATGAATGAGTTAACTTGTGATTAAGTATCAGGCAAACTTTGAATTTCTTTTTTCACTAATTTTAACTTGTTTTCAAGATCTACAGATAAAAAGATATGACAATCTGGAAAATATTCTATCCTTAAATGGTTAAAGGCGTAAACTGCATTAGAGTAAGTTCTGGAAGACCACCTTACTCTGAAAAAGTTGCTTACTGACTCAAACCATAAGTGCCAACCATGCAAACATATCTTTGATGACTCCTTGTATTGATTATTATAGATAAAAATAAAATTATGGTACTACACAGGTTTATTTTATTAAACATACAAAGTAAAATGGAAAAATTACCTCAGCTCCAAACCAAAGTTGTCCAGCTAAATTTTCTTGTAAAACATCCTCAGGAAATTTGACTCTAAAATCGCGATTAGCTCTTTCATCTCCAATTAAATCATCCATAATACAATTAGTAATGGTAAGGACTTTATCTTGCGATTGACGTAGTTGGTTAACAAGTGCAGAACATCTTTCGGGATCTTTCCTTCCATCAAAACTATCTAGTTCGCCAGCTATGATGTTTAAAGCTTCATCAGCAAAGAAAAATTGGGCCAAAAGTGATTTATCATCCCTCTAAAATAAATTTATTAAATTAGAACAAAACAATTAGGTGTACTTAATTAATAGAAATGCGTTAATAAATGGTTGTGATGTGAAAAGAAAAAGAAAGTGGAATTGAATTAAATGATGACACGCGCGAGGAGCAGAGAAAAAACTGTTTTACATTTTTAACCAGTGGATTCAAAGAGAAAGTTAAAGAATTGAGGTTATGGTGTTCCTTTTGTTTTTATTTTAATTTACATGGAACCTTGACTTTTATTTAACAATATAATAACGTTATCATCATGTTATCATAGCCACGATAATGTAGACTGGAGCAAGGGAAAAAAATTGCTAATTCGGTCGTATTATCGTCATGTTTAACAAACATTTGTTAAATTCTTTACTAAAAAAGTACTTAATTTTATTATAAAATTACTCAATTTTAAAACACTCTGTATTAGTAGTTTTTCCGTGTATTGCAAAACACGCGATAAAGTGAGGGACGGAAGTTGAATGTTTCTAAAAGGAGAAAAGTAGCTTACCTTGGGTCTATAAAACCATTTTCTTAACGAATCCATATCTTTTTTATATTTAGAGTGCGTTTGGTAATAACAGGGATGAATTATCGTTTCATTTACGAATTTTTTTAACCTTAAGTTTGCGAATTACACAGAAAGAAGAAACGAAACGCTCACAGCTTTCCTACTTCACTATACCATGTTGCACACGCACATTTTAGCACACTTTATAACCGAATTGGTACAAACTATTTGCTGACATTTTTTAAAACATCTTTTCATTGTTGATTATTATTTTCTTTGTTTTGATGAATTGAGGTGTGTATTTAAACGGAGCCTTTTTTCTGTCGTTTTGGTGTAAATGGGAAGAGACGTATGGAATTAAATGTGATTCACTCGTTGACGTTTGGGATATTGGCAAGTTACATTTAGTTATTGTAGAGGTCGCTGCTTATCTTTCAAGATAAGTTTTTTTGATAATATTAATCTCATTTTTTATTATTATTACTTTTACAATATTTCATTTTCAATTTATATGAAGCTGGGTAACTTTTTATTTATTAAAAAGAAAAAAATATATCTCTTAATTTACCGTTTTCTTCTTTACAAATTTATTTAGCAACAGATGGCGCTCATTTTTCTAATTTTATTCCAAAAATGTTAAACAATTTTTATACTGATTAATATTTATGGATTTTTTGACCTTCACTCAAATTCATTTAGCATTTTAAAAGATATATTCATACTCAACATGTTTAATATTGTATTTCAACATAGCTCAATTTATTTGACCTCGGCGATTATGGTTTCGTTGTTGAAATGCGTGTTCGAATATTTAACATTACTGTTAGAATCAATTTATTTAATTTTTTGCAATAATAATGTTTATAAAACAAGTACGCGTAACGTTGTTGTTCAAGTTTCAATTTAATATGAAGAACATGAATCAATATATTAATAAAGCAAAATTGATTTTGTAGTAACGCTTTCAAATATTTATTAATTCTCTTTCCAAAGTATTGAAATAACCTTGTCTTTACTATTTTTAGATTCAACATTTCTTCCTTTTCGTGCACTCTTATGGATTGTACAGATTTTGTTAATTAAAACAAAAACAGCTTTTCCTGTGCAAATTCAAGGTTCAAGTACTTTTTAAGCACGAAGTTCATACCACTTATTAAAATCCCAGTATTGGAAGTCCAAATAAATATATATCATAGCAATTATGAAGCTTGACACTTTTTTTTGCTTTTGACTTTTTTTGGCGTTCAGTACACAACTTTTGTGTTGCTGGAACAATCTTAATGGCATCATGTAGAAGACTCCAATAGTAATATCTCTATTGAGTGTATAGATACTACTTATTGCTTGGAAAAGACTAGATACTGCTGGAAAATGATTAGATATTGCTAGCAAAAGACTAGACGCTGCATCCAAATATAAGACACTGCAAATAGAAGACCAAATACTGTTTGCAAAAGACTAGATACTGCAGGCAGAGACTCTAATATCTTGAATAGTTATTACAATTGTGAAGAATATTTGGAACAAATTGCTTCAAAGAGTATTTATTTACTCCAGTATCTTTTAATCGTTGATATCATGATTAAAATACTTTTTCCACATTACACATTAAGTATTAAAACGATAGAACATTTATTTATTTATTAAAACTATAAAATATTTACTATCTTTTAACCAATATAAACTTGATGCTTAATTATGTTGTTGTATCGCCATTAAAATTGCTTATTTTTGGTTGTTCTTTGTAACAAAATGGTTCTACAAATATATAATTATTAATTATCATTGCAATAACTTAAACTTACCAGTGAATAAAATGTTTCGAAAACATAAATCTATATTTTCTGTGTCTAATGGAAAATTGCACCAAATTAATCTTTGTTCTAAATGTGATACTGGATATTCTTTTAAAAACCTAAAATAAATACGCCCAGATTTCCTTAATATTCTTCTCATTCAAATTTATTTATTTACCTTGTGACATTAACGCGTTGGCACACATCTATATTTTTACTCCACTCAAATATCCAATAGCAAGGATCATCTTGAATTTGATTAAGACATTTAATCAATTGATAAAATTCGCACATTATTTTAGTAGGGCATATATTCTCACTTCTAGATCTTTGGTCGCATATTAACACATTTATAGGCATAACATTCTGAAATAAATTTTCTTTTGGTGCTTTTCTCGAAGTTAATAATTGCATCATTTCGGGATAATTACTTTTAGTTATTTCTATGCATTCATTGGAATTTCCGGAATAGTGAAATCCCGATTTGTTTTTAAAAGTTTCGATGATTGATAAAACTGAAAAATAACGACGTAAAATAAGATAAACTCAAAATAATAAATAAAGTTGATGATTTAAAAATATCTCATAAATTTTACTCAATTTTATGTTAGAAGACCTTCTTTCTTTCTTTTCCTTATCTTTGAATGCTGATGATTGATTGCTATATTTGTTTGAAAAAAGAACTTGCTTTTGGGTTGGGACGATCATGTTCTCCTAAAATAACAACAAAATGTATTATAATAAAAATTTGCGTTATCTAATAATCACATTATCTTCCCAACCATCTCTTGGTACTAAAACTCCTCTACACGTTCTGTTAGGAGCGCAAAGAAAACAGAACCACTTCTTTTTTTTTGAAAGAACTGCGTAAGCATCTACCTCAGCTAAATCTTGAATACAAATTGTGCAATAAACACTGAAAGAAAATATAGAAATAAAAAAAAAAATCTCGAGGATATTTGAAATTTGATAATTACAATTTACATTTTATATTCATGCATACAAGCATATCTCCAGCAAATCCACAAACGGTACAATATTCCTAAAATAAGTAATATTAATTTATTTTTGTTGAATATATCTCAAATTGGTAAGCACCTTCTTTAAATTTGGGACTATTTTACAATACGTTTTTTTAAATCGTTTCTAAAACAAACTAACATTAAAATGAACTCTAATGGAGTTGTAATAATTTACGTTGCAATCTGTACAAAAGTAACCATTAAATATGGGGTGCTCATCCGATATTTTGTCGCTATAACAACCCATACAAATACGAAGAGTCGATATTTTCCCCATATTATAATCTGCGATGATTTGGCGAACTATGTGATTTGCACACTCTTTCACACTATCGATGTTATCTTCAAGATTTGAGACCTCTACAGGCAACGCGACTGAAAATTCTGTTTCCATTGTGCTTTCCATTGATGGAATGCAACGACTAGTGAAAGTGTCATATTCATCATTTGCTGGCTTTAAGTTTTCAGAACGAATTTTATCCAATTTAGATTTGACAAAATTAGTTACAACTGAAAAAAATTGATGAGGCTAAATAATTAAACAAATAATCTTAAATTAGTTTCAAAACGTACAGTATTTAGTGAGGTAAGCATTCTCTAAATTCGATTTAGCCCAAGTTTTTAAATCTGGTATTGATAGCGTTTGTGTATCTGGTAAACCGATTTCCTAAAATAGATGTTAAATAAATTAAAGAAATCCCTTTAATGAGAGGAATCAAACGATATGCAAGTGATACAGATATGACTCATATAATTTTCTGAAAAGAATGACTAAAAAAGTACATACTTTTTGTATTCGATGTTATTGAAAAGTTTTTTTATTGAAACTTTTGGAACCAGAAGGATATGATAGAGGCCAGTGACAAAACGATTACTTGATAGACTTACTCTCCATCTGAGACTTCGCCACGACAACATATCATTGCGGTTGACTTCTTGTGCCATTACAGATACTGCTCGAAATGCACAATTAGTGACTAATCAGACACTATGAGTCGTTGAAAATCTGGAGACGCAATACGGCTGTCGAATATGCAGGTTATGAGAGAGTATTCAATTTCCACAACATCTTCACCAAATACTATGAAATTATAAAAACTTCAAAAGTTTTGCAGAGCATCAAGTTGAAACAATGAAGAAGACATCACATCCATACGACTCTTGGATAATCGGTTGCGATCAGATTTCGATGCTTATACCTCCAAAGATTAGCGGATGTCAAAATTTAGAAATTAAAAATTACCCCATTTTAGCTAAAATATCACAGTGTTGGTCATCATATAGACTTGCTGCAAGCGTACAACTAAATCCCAGTAACCCAAAAAACACTTCAAAAGCTACAGCAACCTCATCCTGTGGTTTGTAGAGAAACTGTACAAAGTACTACGAGGTTTGTCTCCTCCGAGGAAGTGCCATGATAAAAATTACCAGATTTTAGAACTGGTCTGAGCATTCGCTCCAGTACCACCCAGCCAAAATAATCACGTTGTGATTTCAGCTGGCAGATTCCTCTACATAGATCTATTTGTACCACTATCAAACAATATCAAGTAGATAATAACTGGGCATGAGGCGATGAGCCTTCAAAGTTGATGTGCTTGGGACAACTATGGCATTCAGAGAAATGTCTTTCTAATGATTAGACTAAAAATCGTGGCAAAACTTGTTGCCTCATATCAATCAATACTACATGCCTAGTTTGCTGTTGTTGGTGGAGAACTGAGATCTTGATGGACTAACCAGAGAAGTATTATTTACTGTTTTGAGCATCCTTGGAAAAAATGGCGGAAAAAACCTTGCAAATGGTTCTTATTATGACCTATGTAAAAGCAAGATGCAAGCTTTCAGTGAGTTATTTCATCAATATGAATTTAGGAATAAGTTAGAAACCATTAAAAGATAAACTTGCAAAATTGTCCGAATTGTTTCGCCGTCTAGGGATTGTCAGATTAATTGAGGTAATCCCTAATATATTTATATGTTAAACTAGCTTCTTACCCTAAGACATTCAGCAATCCCTTGAACCCACTTTTTGCAATACATTTCTGGTATTGTAATGTACCTAAAGTATTCCTGACAGAAATCTTTTAATATCTTGCAAGATACCTAAAACAAATACAAACAATGTTTCTTAAATAAAATAAAAACAATGATTTTTATTGGACCTTATCTATTATTTAATGAACGACTTACGTTAGAAACACGGTGATCTCCAAACCAAAACACCCAACATTTTCCTGTTTCAGCTGTTTCCATACCGATATCTCGATGAGATACGATAATACCTTTAATAGGAGACATGATTCAGAAACATAAAAAATTATTTCACGGAAACTATAATTAGATATGACATGTTATATGATTATAAATATATCTTGTTTAATTGCAAATTCTTTATGGACGCCTAAAAAATTATACAATGTAAAACTCATGCTTATATTCAATCTAGTTCCGATTTTAAAACAAAAAATTTTGGGAAACGCTCATTTTTCGTCCAATTTTTTATGCATTTTCATGTTCATACCGTGACCTACAATCAAAGACGACGATACAAGACAACACCGCGATATTACCCCATCTAAATTTGATACAACAATGCGTACTCATTTAGGGAGAAAAAAAGAGGGTCACCGGGTACCTGTTTAAGTTAGTATTTCAAAGCTGGTGACATTCTACTGCCAAATCGTGAATATATGGCAACGCTGTGCTCTATTCAGTAGTAAAAATGAAGATTTGGACTATTGTTTCTTTTTTGAAAATTATAAAAAGTCTAACAGAATAAGTTACTTTAATTCTAAATTTTGTTTATGTTATAAATCTTCAAAGCGAATATTTTGTACATAAAAATGGTATTTTGGTGTTATAAACAATTATAATTTGAACATACCTGGCCAAAATTTTCTATCCATTTTCGCCCAAACATAAGATCCCGGTTTGAAAACGTGAATTTTATCAGGACTCGTTGTTGTGTTACTACGTGTTAATCTTTTTAGCATTTTAAACGTTTGTACCACAAGCCACAATCTTCGACGCTTTCGGGTAGAAGGTCATCCGAAAACTGTTTGGGTTTGAGTTTATTTAGTCAAGGCAGGCCAAAAAAGGTCTAAAGTAGACGGTTCGGGAGTGGGACATTGAACCGACAGCAAAAAACATAATGGTCTTTCTATCCTTATCGAGATTAGTGAAGAATAGGTTATTTTTGGTTAAGTATTTAAAAAGATTTTTTAATGGTTTTATTATTTTTGAGTATAAAATTATTACCGTTCATTTAAAATCTTTGTTAATAAAATTAAATAATTAAATTATGGTTTAGTTAATATATTTTTTTCTTTTTTCAAATATTATAGATTAGATTGTATTAACAGAAAAGATAGATATAAAACGGTCTTATTGTGAGGGTAGATAAGATTTTTAACGTCTTGGTTAGTTGAAATTTTTCTTCATACAAAAAATTTTGTTACAAGAAAAAATGCGATGGGTTAATTCTTAAACCAACATAGCCACTGACAAGTGAATTAAAGACCATAACTGGATAACCTAATTAAATGTTTGATTATACCGGATGTTCCATGTAACCTAAACTAAATCACATATCACAAAAGTTACACATGGGACAAAAAATTTTTTGATAAAATTTGTTCGAGATGATTCTTTGAACATACAGAGTGACAGCATCGCCTTTTTCAGATAATTTGGAATACAGAAATAAAATTTTTATAGTGGCTCTAATCTATTGGGGAAACTCGGCGAGGAGGATTACCAGATTTCAGAAGTGGTTTGGGGATTCTCTGCAGTGCCAGCTAAAATAATCCTGCATACCTCATTATCTACAGTTCTACAGGATACTTTGTGATTCCAACTGGCAGATTACCACTATCTAACCATATCAAGTAGATAAGGACCGGGCATGAGGTGATGAGAAAGCTGAGCCTTAAAAGCTATCCCAAGAGCTAGCGCATTCAGGAAATGTCTAATGATTAGGCAAAAAATCGTGGCAAAACTTGTTGCCTCATAAATGACTCATAATTGCCTCAAAGTGATTTTGCTTATTTGGACATTGTTAACTGGTCTCTTCCAACTGTAGTCAATATATGTGTGACTATACTGTTCTAACAACTGAAGTACATGGACAATACGTTGGATTATAAACTATAGTGGTAGTCACACCTAGTGAATAGACTTATAAAAACGCAGGTTGGGTTGTATTAAATCAAAAAGATAGAAGGCAGAAAAGACGTTGTACAAAATTTTTATTGAGAGGAATTGTTTATGAAAAACTTCTTTATTTGCTTTCGCAATATTTTTTTCAATATTATATTAGTCCGTAATTCACAAGTTTTGTGCCTCTATTGGACAGGAGTCAAAGTAATGCATAACGCTTGATCGTTCCGTTAGATGGCGTGTACGATTTAATACGAATCTATACTCAAAAGAATACTGTAATGATGTTAATGATGTTAGATTAAATATTTAGTTTTATTAATTAAACAAATAAGATTAATTATTGTTCTAATTTTCTTAATCTAACGGTTTTCTTATAGAAAATGTCATCTACATGAACTTTTTGATGAATTTGAACTGGTGAATTAAAGGTGGCGCTGTACTACAAAAATTTATAAAATATATATCTAATTAAATGTTAATAAGAAATATTTTTCAATCATTTTTTTAATCAGTTATAGAGTTTATAATTACTTTCGAAGGACGTCAACTTGTTTAAAAAAAAACGTAACAAATATACCGATTAATTAATATTGTTTTTTATACTTAATTGTTATAATTAAATTTGATCATTTGTATGATGACTATATAAATAGTCGAGTTATAATACTAAATGTTTATAAAACGAAAATGGTTGTAATCTAAAAAATTAAACCTAAAAATATAAATCAATGTTTTTTGTAACAATTTTTTTTGAAATCATCAATGTTGTTGTACTATCAAGCTTCTACAGTAATACATTCGCGGGTGGTTCGGGTGTTTCAATCGGAAAGTAATTATCGGTGATCGCAGTGAGATAGTAAAGGATGGGGGAATTCTGACCACCACCACCGCCGGCTAAAGCTGAAGCGCGGGGGAAAGCGTAGAACACCGAGCAATCAGATAAGCCGCCCCGGTTGGCAGACAATGGAGGCAATAAAATGGTAATTGAAACGCGGAAATATTTCGCCCGCCCAGGCGTATATTTTCCGGCTCGCAATATTAGATTACATTTTAATCAGCTGCTACCGGGGGCTGCCCCGGTCCGCCGCCGCCACCGCCGTCCGATGTACGAATTGGGGTGGTGGTGGTGCCGCTAGAGCTGCTGCTATGGCCCGCTACGAACAGGTTACCGACCATTACTCAAACTTGACGCTAAAGGCCTAATCCAATTGTTACGCCCTCTGTGCGGCCCCACGAACGACGGCTGCTAGTAGCTCCGAAACAACCCCACATCTGCGGTTATCGCCGAATCTACGTCACCCTAGATAGGATTTTGAATTGAGATACATAAACAACAATTCAATCATATAATATTATCTACATAGTCTATAATATCAGTGCACAAAAATGTTCCACACATCACGTTTGTATTTTCCACTTCTTTCCTCACTTTTCGTAAAGAATATGCTATATCAAGAAATCCTAGATCAATTGACCAAGGCAGTAGCTCTACATTTATGTTACGCTTGGTTCTACAATAAGTTATCGGATTTCGTAACAAAAATCAAGATTTTAAGAAATGGTGGAGAGACTTAGAATAGACATAGATTTTGATGGTCTCTAAGATTTTACCATGGTGCTGAGTGGTTTAAATTGCTCTCATTGGCTAAAACCAGGATTTATCTATCGTAACAATTTATTAAGAGCCTAAATGAAAAATTGTTCACATGCGGTAGTAATTTTGGTATTTCCAACTGTTCAGGATCATCATTTGGTTGAATGGATGAATCTTCTCCGATTTTTGATAGTAGTGCTACGATAAATAACACTGCAGGATTGCTCTATCTTTTAGTGTTTATCAAAATTGCAGGAAAAAAAGCGTTTCACATTCTTAACCACATTATGACCATGAAGATCGCTGGATTGAAAAAATGTTTCGTAAAGTTATGGTCTTTGTGTATTGCCAGATGGATTGGGAAAGATCTGTTATGTTTATTAAGGTTAATGACACCAAGGATAGAATATTGGCTAAGGTTATAAACGGTGCTCAATTTCTGACAATTTGGGAACAGACTAATGATGATAATGAGGAAAAAATGTTGGGTAAGGTTATAAACGTTGCTTAATGCTAGGTGAATCGAAGAAAGCCTGTTAATGTTGAGTAAAGTTATTATGTCTGTGTACATAGTGCTCGTCATATGCCACGATAATTCATAGGGCATCCAGTTTAAATATGATTTTAGATATCACCATGAGTCAAAACATATCACATTTGGTTGATCTACAAAATAGGACTACTTTTGAAGTAATAAAATACTGGAAACCTGATTCTTCTTCAACGGATAGTGAGGTTCAGAAAAATTAAGCAAACAACACATTTGCTAATAGTATTGAACCAGTGTGGACATAGAGAATACTAGGTTAACACAGTGGAAATCCTTCAATTTGGTATATGTGTTGTTAACGGCAGTCTTAGGAAAATCGAACTAGGGAATAGCGCAGGCTTTACTATTCATAACGTTCAACACAAAATCGTCCAATATATTAAGGTCCGACAAGTGGGGTGTAATTCCAAAGAGGTGATTAAGCCGGGAGACTTCATAATGTGTATTTGACGTATTGGATCATGGACTCACGACAGCTTTTTCAATTCTAATCAGTTAACATCGATTTTCACCCCTAATAACCCATCTTTTCAATACTAAACAGCTTCTAATGGCGTCGTCCCTTCAAGGTAAATAATTTAGAAATAAATTTTGATTTTATGGATCCCCATTATGAAAAGAGCTTTCCTCGAACTTTGTAAATATGGACATCCAAAGAATCTGAAGATTATGGATTAAGATGTAACCCCGAGTGTGCTATATGTATCAAGTTGACATATTAACTTGACAGGCAGAAAGTAAGTTTGAATATAGGGTTATTAAACAACACACCCTCCTCCTCGTCAACTTAAACATGCGCGTGATACATATTGCCCACTGGGGATATGCTTGGGTCTGCTACTTAAAAGTTACTTTAAAAAGTAATACAAATTGAATTGTCATATAATATGTATTACTTTTATAAAGTACCACTTTTCTAAAAAGATTTTTTCTTCATAAATTTAAAAAATAATAATCTGTTAAAAATTATTACTTATTTTACAATAAAATTTATATCTTTGTTCCAAACTATTTTAAAAATGTTCGTGTATAATATAGATTTACGAATGTGGTTAAATAACTGAACGAGCAAGTGGGGAGAATGGATCGTGAAACGAAATAATCCATTATTCAAATATTTTTCCAGTGTAATTGTCTATGAAACATTGAAACCGTGTGCACATTTTCACAGTCTCCACATGTATTTGAATAGTTGCATTATAGAATACCCTAATGTTCCATGAAGTGCACACCAAAACTGGTGCACTTCTCTATTCCATAGTTTTACTATTTGCACCCGAACTTGTCTCGGTGGCAATTTAACCAAATACACACATTGCACGTGTCAGCTATCCATAGAAACTCTAATTTAATCGAGTTGTCTTTGTTCGTGCACGATAAAATATTTAAATTTGTTCATCGAATCCACAATAATTTTGTAACTGGAGAACATAAAGAAAGAAGTGGAAAGTATATTATTTTTGGTTAAAGGGGGATAAAGTTTTGTTACCTCATCGAACCCCAACGATGGCAAATAACTTAATCCGAGATGAGGGCGTGATGATCGACGCTGTAATCGCTTGTCCGATAGAATTTCCTGTCCAATAAGTCAAAGCTTGAAAGGCTGTGAACTGACCAATCGAGCTCTCTAAATCCCCTCTCTAAAGTTCCTATTAAAACAACAAAATTCAAACTTATTCTTCAAAAACAAAGTTTTTTTAAGGGTATATTTGATATTGAATTTAAAGTCCCGGAAGTATTTACATCGGTCGAATTTAATTCTTGAACGGTAACATTGGCGTCCGACGGCGGATGCAGTCGATTGCTATTGGAATATTTAGGTGAAGCGCGTTAGTTCCTAAATAATTCAAGATGCCAAATGGAAAAATTACGCGGTTCGGTGCCCACCGGTCCGTGCTTTTAATGTCAATTTATTTTCAATTTCCATCGTATCCCTCTCCACGTTGCGTTCTGTTACGCTCATTTTTTTTGTTGCGTAGCTACACTGAATAGACAATCGCAGCCATTAAGCGCTTATAGATTAAAATCGTTACCCTAATAAAAAATTTAAAATTTAATTAACTAAAAGCTATGATTATTCCAACACAATTCCAATAAAACAAAAACCATTTTTTAATTACAAAATAGTAATATTCTTTTTTCTAACAAGTTTTAAAAAATCTCATTATACAATGTGTTAATTAATTATCGTATCCGACGTCATTATTGCAAGTATGCAACCAATATTACAGTATTGGTATTGCAATACGCGATTTGCGTATTTGGTTGCATACTTGCAATGATGACATCGGGTACGATAATTAATTAACACACTGTACATACATAGATAGTAGAATAGTTACGTTTGAAAATCCCAAAGGACGATATCAAATGTAACAACAACGCCCCCGAATCTCTCAAATCTCGTTATCGATTAACTTAATCAGAACAGTTCTATCTATACGACAAACTACAAAGGGCGTTGGCGTCGAAGGCAGATGCATTGAGTTTTGCTGTACGATTGGGAACGTTGGTCACGGACAATGGTATAGACGACGTGCCGGCGACGACTCCCTCGGGATCTCCGGGTTAATTGATCCCCCGATGATTCCCGGTGTTGGCGATCGGAGCTTCCTCTCACGGATATTTAATTTCAAACGGGTTGGGAGTACACTCAAGTGGTTCCCCTAGAAAGTTTGTGATTGATTAATGATGCGATAGCAAATTATAAAACGTTTTGGTTTTGATTAAAAATTATTATTAGAAAAATTTTTGATACTATTTATATTATTTTTAATATCAGACAAAGCATAACAGGAAGTGATACTTTATCTAGACACAAACCTAGGTTTTTCATACTTAATTTTTTCCAACATCACTATGTCAATTTCATCTTCGCAATTTTTATGTGTTTGATTATTTGTTGGGTCGTATTCACTGCCGCTGTCCTCAAATGGTTCTTCGTCCAAATCCAAATACCCCATATTTTTGTATTATCCTATAGCTTTTTGTTACAAAATAGATATTCTGGACTAAGTTTGCAGAACAATCAAACGACTGCCATGAAATTTAACGCATGGAGTGAGATATAATACAATCAAAAAGTAATGAATAGGTTAACACCAATAGTACCATAAACTTATAACGTGATATTTATGAGAACATTACTATTGGCATGGTTAGTGTAATTTTAGACCTTGTTTACTAAGAACAATACAATGGGTCGCGTAAAAGAAGGCTTTATAAACTCTTGGAAACAAACTTACTAATATTTTTAGCAATTTAGCATCAATGCAGTGCAATTTCAGACATTTTCTTCAGATTTTGAAATCTATGTGACTTAATTCGAAACTTCTTCTTTGTGTGGAGTATATTTCTGTTCTTATTAGATCTAGCAATATGTCATCTGTGATGTGTGACTTCTTATTAAAGCTTCTAAAGAGATCTATTTAGTACAATTCCAAACTAGTAAAAGACTTTCTTATAGACTTTAATCTACGATCTAAGAAAATTATTGTTTCTCTTTGAATGTTATAATAGCAATGTTATTTTTGCTCTCTAAAATTACTTCGAGACCTTGGGTTTAGAATCCATGTAATGTAATTCCAATTTTTTTTTAATTCTGAAATGCTGTCTAGATTGCAAAATTATTGCAGCTTGTAAGCTGTATTCTGCGTTGTTTCATTGTGGACTTATTTTTGTTAGGAAATATCATTAATCTGTAAGTTGTAATTGTTTACTTTTTCTTGAAATCATTAAAAATAGCCTTAAATTATAGAATCTATGCATCTAATTTCAGTTATTTTTTGGATCATACAACCAATATTGCAGTTCTAACTTCACTACGTACATGCGATTTCAGACCAATTCTTAAATGGTGCATAAATTGCCTCTGATATTACAAACTTCTTATTTGAATGTAGAAGTTATGTAGGGTAACCCTAAATTTCTTCTTGGAGCTAAGCCAGTACAATTCCAGACATCTTAAAGACCATCTTTAAGCCTGAAATCTTTTGTATAAGGAGTATATATAATCCATGCAGTGCAGTTCTAGACATTTACTTTGCCTGCTCTTGGAATCTATGTCTATTGGTCTAATATTTATGAGTGTAATGTTAAATTTCATCTTGGAGTCTGGCATGTGGAGCAATTCTTTCATTATTTTTATAAAGGATTTTGTTAGCTGTCTTATTGGAGTGGTTATAATTATTTGCATAATTTTTTGTAAATATGAGAAAGCTGAGTCTCTATAGATTTTCTGTGTTGCTTCCGATTTAGACCACAAAAATATAGTCATCATTGTACGATACCTCTACTTGCCACAATTAAGATAGCCTATTTTAGAAAAAAATAGATTATTCGGCACAAGTATTTGCATTCACCACAGGAATGTTTTTGCAGATATTACGGTATTCTTTGATTATGCACTAAAGCACTTGATGTTAATTTGTCCACCAAACAATATGTAGTGCACCAACAAGACTCATTTAAAGCATGTTTTCACAAGTTGAACCAGTTAATACTAAGTGTACTACTATTTTTCCAGTGCAGGAATTTAGAAAAGAATCAAAAATAGGAAGAAAAATGAAAAAATCGTGTTACATACAAAATAGCTTTGATCATCGATACTATATAAAATAGAGCTCTTGAACAAAATCATTTTTTAAAAACAAAATATAATAGATTAGGATTAATATGTTTATAAACTTATCGACATTGAAAAATAACTTCTTTCCCCAATTTAGTAGAAAACTCAGTAATAATCGCGACCCTCTCTATCATTTCGAACTCAACACGATGGCAATTTCCGGTGATTATTGTCCGAAGGAATAAGTATATATCGTTAAAATGGCCCCCCTAAAGTTATTTTTATAAGTATAATATCGTCTTGTGATGATGGGAAAACAAAAAACAGGTAGCACAAGAAATAGGTTGTGCCCCTGTGATTTTTTAAGACTGGAAGCTTTAAAAGATTTTATTGCCAAAAAAATTCTTTTTTTTTTTCATAATACATACTTTATTTTTTTATCTTTAATAACATGTTCTACTCTTAGCGTTATAATTATTTTTTTTTTCTTAATTTATCTACAATAATAATAATAAGTAATAATAATAATTTTATACAGTAATCACACTAAAATCTCACAAAAAGTTTTTTTTAATTTTTTGTTAAGCAAAATTAATATTAACGGGAACAAACAGAACAACCTATTGCACTACACAGCTTTTCGTGTCTTTTTTTTGTCTTTTCACAAAACTTAGAGCACATTCTCTTCTTGATTGTCCTCATTGGTTCAGTTTATTAGCACATAGATTCTGCCAAAGCAGGTTGTGGTGTGTTATATGGACCGGCCCAAGGTTGCAAGTTTTGTAAAGCGCTTAAAGCCGTATCGGATGGACCGGCAGGTTGCGAAGAGTTCTCCGGCATGTATCCTTTGCTGAGAGCTTCTGCTTGTAACGACAGCATTAGTCTGTTGGCCGCTTGTCTTTCCGCTTCCCTTTCTTCGGCAGTTTGGCGTCTGTAAAACGAATGAAAAAAAGATTAGAATTCTTTATACCGTAACGTTTCGTTTGTAACACGGTAATACTCTTAATGGCATTAAAGTGCGAACATGTTTTGGCACTAAATGGCGGAAATAGTTTGTTCCGCTCTCTTAAAGACTGATCGGAATTTAAATGTGTATTTGAAGTATAGTGCGTGTTCAATAAAATAAAACCTCTAAAAGGATTTACTTAATAAAACTTTTATGTTGGAAGTCTCATTTTTTTCTGATATCTTATGATAAGAAAAAAAAAGAAATATAGTTTGTGTATTCTAATTCGAAGAAAAACTGTTGTTGTAAGATTCGACGAAAATGATGAAGTCTCTGAGAAACACGTGGGAACACGTCCGGGCGTAGTGTAAAGTGACGTGCGGGCGACGTCCACGTGGGACAGCCGCTTTTGACACCCTAAAAGCCCGTGCATTATTCAACCGGCGACAGCACAGTTCACTCAATAATGCAGCTAGACACAGGTCTAGTGTTTGGTCGCTTAAATATTCAAACTTCCCGCGTCGACTGTTCGTGAACTTAGCAGTTAGAGAATGTGTGAGCTTCTCAAATCATGTCCTAGCTATATCAAACATCCAATACAACTTTCCAATGAACATTATCGCCATTCCAGGCTCTAAACATCAAATTGGGAACCTTATGTAACATATGGCATAAGGCTTTTACGGCCGGTGTTAATTGAACTAAAACTAGAACTAACACTAGAAATTTTCGGGTTTTGCCGTGCGTCTTTTAAGGAAAGGTTTGACGTTTCGGATGCCATGTTGCAACCTTCTTCAGAAAGTGGTTCGAAGTGATATAATGTAACATGTTTTGTTGGATTTAAAATCAAATATGTTATGTAGATTTAAATGAGGAAATGTAAAGGAAGAAATCGTGAAAAGTAGTAATCGTAAAGAATGCATGCCTCTCTTAATTGTCATTCGGTGTCCGACACGGTTCGCATCCGCGCCGTTAGAGAGCGACACTTTAGCGATACCTAAATGGTTCCATTAATTGCGCCCCCACTCGATACGCGCTTAGAACCAACTAAGTTTCTCTTTAATTAGACGCATTCGTCTAGTTGCTTTGTTTTTCGCTATTTAAAACTTTTAACGATACACGGCAGGAAATTAAATTAATTAATACAAATGTGATTAAAAAAAAAAGACTATTTTAATGACAATTTATTAACTTGTTATTACGGACCCGACACGAAACAGAGTGCCGAGAAACAAGTGAATGACCATTAATTTGATTAGTACTTGTTTAAGCTGGATCTCGAAACTTTTTTGACAGTTTCGTGAAAGTTTTCTGATGTTATTAGTTGCGTGATGACAATATACAATATAGGGTTTCTCTTGACGGATTTAATCTTTTAGATTTAATAAGAAGTTGATGAAGTTAAGATAATTTTTTTTCTTAATCTGTACATTGTTGGTTAAAAGTTGATAGAAAATGAAAAGAGAACAAGCAATGGTAACCGGACCGGATCTTCAAAACAAAGTGCTCGCCCTTTTAATTACCTGTCCGGTAATGGACATATCGTGTTAACAAGGCGGTGGCGCCGTCGTTAACAATTGACAGTCGCCACACAGCGAGCTAATACCAGCCTTCGTTGGAAGACGGCGCGCCGGTCTGCTTCGGCCGCCGTCGTCAGCTTTATTATTTCTCTTTTACAACAGCGAAGGAACGCGCACCCTCGACGGTGGCTATCGGCGATTAGAAGTCCGAACCGCGGGAATGGCCGGAATTTTAATATAAACGTTAAGGGGACTGAGAAGAATCCGCATTAAAAGTGGTAACACCGAGTCTCGGGTCGTAAATCTAAAGGGGGCTGATAAATTTTAGTTCTTTTGACCACTTAAAAACCTACTTAGAGGTGATCGCGGTTTTCAAAGAAATATGTGACTGTCTTTAAGTCTACGAAACTCATTTAATTATTATTTAGACTACTTGAAACGTGCATACTTCTGCAAAATACTCTAAAAAAACAGTATTGTAAACTAATATAAGTGACTAATGATACATGTTGACCTGCATAGTTATGCATGGAGTAGAAGCTATAGTTTCTGCGTCACAATTCACATCGTTTGTCTGCCAAACAGATGAGTTATATGCGATACAGTATCTGCACTGTGTTAATCAAACATTGTGTTGAGATGATATATCATGTGGGACATTATATGGATTCGATTAGAAGTAATAATGTGTTGCATGAGTAAAATCAGTATGATATAGGTTATGATCTATGGTCTAGGATATTTTTAGTAAAAAATGATCATAAAATTGAAAATAAAACTTAAAACTGTACAGTTAAATCTGTGCATAAGGAGGGAGCAGAAAGAGGGAGTGAAAGAGTAGTACCTGGGATATGGGTTCTCGAAGAGTAATAAGGTTGGGTCGGACTTGAGGGCGATGGTAAAAAGAGCGAACAGGGTGATGGGACAGGTTTGGGGATGGGAGGAAAGAACTTTTGGGAGGGATGTGTGAAAAAGCAAGATTATGTTTGAAGGCTTGGTGAATGATATACGGCGCAGAAGTATAGGGATGGAAAGAACAAGGATTGCTGGAGAATGTACAAACAAGGTATTAGAGATGGGTACTAGGATTGAGAGAAGATGTTAAGATGGGTTTTCTTAAGGGTGGAGCTGGGAAAAGACCAGTGAAGTACGAGGGAAGGATAGAAAGAATTTGTAAACCTAGGTGAAGACAATTGGTTATGCGTTAGGGATTGCAATTTTAATATATGATGTAAATTGACATCATCCTGGTAAAAAATAACTTGGTCATAAAATCTTCTAATAAAATTTTTCGATATCCTGAAACCAAATACATCACAAATCAAATACATCATCAAATACACAAATTAGCGTCTAATGGAGTTACTTCACTAATAACTTCAGGACAATGGCTAGCCCAAGAATCCAATAATAATAATGATTTGGAACTAGTATTTGGAAAATATACACTTTGAAGGCAATTTTTCTCATATGCTGATGTTAATTTTCCAGATTTTGATGTCAAAACGTAAATATTATCGGCTTTAAACATTGTATTTGCTACCCTTAGTCCAAAGGTGTCAGAGGTTTCTTTTAACCCTTTGTATCCCGGCGGTACTTTAAAGTACCGGTAGTTTTAAACACTCATTTTAAACTGTAGTCATCTATTCGGCGCATTTAGAACTATCGGTACTTTCTACTAAGTTTATACGAAAATATAAGTTTTATTGCAACCTTTTTTTTCTCAATATTTTTCCAATCCAACCCAACAATTATTATACATCATTTTAAAGAGAAAGCTTTGAGCTTTAATTTAGAATAAGTCTCATTCCTTAATTTCAATAAATACGGCTTCCAGGAATTTTTAAATTAGCATCTTTTTTGACATTTTTAGGTTATATCAAAATGTAAGTTTAATTTCAACATTTTTTTTCTCAATATTTTTCCAATCCAACCCAACAATTATTATACATCATTTTAAAGAGAAAGCTTTGAGCTTTAATTTAGAATAAGTCTCATTCCTTAATTTCAATAAATACGGCTTCCAGGAATTTTTAATGTAGCATCTTATTTAACACTTTTAGGATATACTAAAATGTAAGTTTTATATCAATATTTTTTTCACAAACTTTTAAAATTTTTGACTTCTTGGGACACAAAGGGTTAAAACAATTAAAAGTAGGGAAAGAAGTTTTCCATCAGCAGATATTATGGGTTGAATAGTGTAATTATATATTGCGGATGACGCCGACTGAACCACACATTCAACGGTTTTAACGCCTAAATAGCTTAATGTTCTTCCCGAATGGATCTCCTAGTTAAAACCGCTCTGATCCGAGTTGTAGGTGTTTTCAGATCCAATTGTTGCATTGCCTCTTTAACGAAATCTTTCGTTCAAGTTTTTACGCGATAAAATGTTTTTAGTTAATTGAATCATTTCTTTTGTTACCTGATTTTCAACTCATAAATAAATAAAATAAGTCTCTAAGTTTCCCGTAGGCTGCCAATACGAGTGTGATCTTTTTGTTTTCGCTTGTTTGATTATCTCTCGATACACGAACTTCATAGCCAAGATATACATAGCTATCAACCCTCTCAATCTCATTATCCCCAATGTTGATGTTAGAGCTGGGAACAAGATTTATCATAAATTTTGATTTCTCCTCGTTGATATTTAGCCCAGCTCTTGCACACACCTCCTTTAAGTCGTTCAGCATTAGTTTAATCTCTCCAAGGTTATCCGAAATAAATGTACTCTTGAAAACAAATTCCCAGCTATTTAACAAGACTGATCCATACCATCTGCAACGTGTTCAGCATCTGATGCTAGAAGACTTTTCATGAGGACCATCAACCCTCATGCCAGTATAGAAAATAAATTTTTATCCTACATTTAGTGTTAATGTGTGATGCGGAATGTTATACGAGTACGTTATAATTATAGGATCATTTATTTTTGAAAATTGTCTTGAGCAAATTTATTTACAATCTTTCGAAGAAAAACTTCTGCCAATGTTGGTGGTTGTTCCTCTGGTAGGACGGTTAAGAATATTGCATCACGATGGAACTCCTTCTCATTTGTACAGAACAGTCACTGCTCCTCTAAATCAGCATTACCCCAAGAACGTATTTCGGTGGTATTTAGCCAGATAGTTCTCCAGATCTCAATCCGTTAGATTACAACAAATGAGGTTGGATGAAGAATTTGGTTTACCAAGAGGAAGTGGAATCAGTCCCACAGACACTACACCTCTAAAAGAGCATTACCCCAGGATCGCTTTTAGGTCGTAGAAGTTTAGCCAGCCAGGTCTCCAGACCTAAATTCCCTAGATAACAACTAATGAGGTTGGATGAAGATTTTAGTTTACTAAGAGGAAGTGGAATCAGCCCCACAGCCCTATATTGTGCTTCTACAGCTTCCGTTACTCGGCATTTATTTTGTGAACATCAAAACTATTTCGTGATCTGGCATCCTTAGTGAGATTATTTGATGCCTTTGCATTGTCTAGATTGATTGGGTTGTCGCAGTGTTGTGTACATAAACTTTGAATTTGAAGTAGTGTATTTTATGCTTACTTAAGAAGTATGATTCAAATATGATTCAAGTAACTCCAACACAATCATTTTTATTCGTTTTGGGTTACTTTGATTTATTGTTTAATAAAATAATATAGTATAAATAAAATGTTGTTTCTCCAGTTCGCCTTTATTCAATTTTGATCGAGTGAAAAGTGTGAGTACAACGGAAGGAAGAAAAAGGTTTAAAAGTCCGTTCATGATTTTTTGATGCGTCGAAAAGCGGCTTTCAAAAGCGCTCGAATTATTGAGGAGTCCGCGCGTCCCAGTGATATTCGCGCTGCCGTCGACGCGCGACATTTTAAAATTGAAAAGGGGCCGAGACGGCGGCGGCGGTGGCGATGGCACGTGCAATATTCATCGCTCAACGTTGACTGACGGCAAGTTTTATTTAAGACGTTCGCCAATTTTCGACACTGAATTAGATATGACGTCAACTAAAACAACTCCCGCTTATTTCAAAGTGCCCCTCTAAAATGAAAAATCTCCTCCATCAATTTTTGCGTAGTAACTATATACTGTGATCAAAATAATTTATTCCTTCAATGTAGAAAGTTTAGATGGTGAATAAAATTAAGATTGTGGGATCAATTAGAGTTTGTATTGTAGTTTGACGTGTTAATATGTTCTTAAATTTAGTTTGTGAACAGTTGTTAGTGTGGGGGGAAAACCGTCAAGCTAATCGCTGACGACGTTCAATTATTAACGGAGCGTTAACGGAGCTCTAAGCCGGAAAACAGGGCCGGGCTTGGGACGCCCTGTTCGGGGGCGGCGACATTTTAATTATGATTTACGCAGCTAACCCCGCTAACGCCGTTGCCACATAATATAAATTAGCCCGCCGGTGGCTGCGGCGCTCTGTCAAATTACATACGGCGCGCAATTAATTTTATTAATTATTTAACGTCGCGCCCAGGCTACGGACAGATTAACCGGAAAATATCAACGCAATTAGCGTCCGACTTTATCGGCCGAAAAGGATTAAATCGTAAATGGATTACGCGTCGCTCGATTCGCCGCTCTTTTTCCATATTTACATCGACAATACACATTTTATAAACATTTAAATGGTAAATTGTTAAAAACTTGAAATCTTAGAATCCTCGCATGAGATAATATCCAGAAGGACAAAACATTTTGACAACACCGTCTCTTGCGTCGTTAGATACTAACGCAGAGGGCGTTTTCAAGCTCCCCAGAGCTTTTCGAGCCCAAGCTTTCAGTCCTGAACGGTGGCGCGGCACGGCGGTGCTTTCATATTTAATTACATCGTAATTAAACTACGCGGCGCTCTTGCTAATTAGGCCCCCTTATTAAGGCGCTACGAAACCGCGCGGGGGTAATATTAATTAACAAAAGCTCGTTAATAATTTTGCACAAACGAACTTTGTTATCGTTAAAACATACAACGTCCTTTTCTATTAAATATTTTGCAAATTCCTTTTTGTTCAACAAAAATATACACCAACCTAGTGGTACTACGTCTACCGTCTACGTCTACGGTAGACGGTAGACGTACTAGTTCTAGGTCTAGTGTTAGTTCTAGTTTTAGTTCAATAAAAATATGCAACATAGTGATATCTAGTGTTAAGTAGCGCTACCTAGCACTGTCACTTGAACTAACACAAGACTTAAAACTAGAATCATTCGGATTTAGCCGCACGTCTTTAAAGACGGCTAAACCCGAATGATTCTAGTTTTAGGTCTTGTGTTAGTTCTAGTGACAGTGCAAATGTAAAACTAGAACTAACACTATACTTAGAACTAGAATCATTCGGGTTTAGCCGTCTTTAGAGACGTGCGGCTAAACCCGAATGATTCTAGTTCTAGGTATAGTGTTAGTTCTAGTTTTACACTAGCACTGTTACTATGTAGAACTAACACTATACCTAGAACTAGAATCATTTGGGTTTAGCCGCACGTCTCTAAAGACGGCTAAACCCGAATGATTCTAGTTTTAGGTCTTGTGTTAGTTCTAGTGACAGTGCAAGTGTAAAACTAGAACTAACACTATACTTAGAACTAGAATCATTCGGGTTTAGCCGTCTTTAGAGACGTACGGCTAAACCCGAATGATTCTAGTTCTCGATCTAGTGTTATTTCTAGTTTTACACTAGCACTGTTACTATGTAGAACTAACACTCTTAGTTTTAAGAGACGCACGACTTCTAGTACTAGTGTTAGATTGTTGTATATACGTATTATATTAAAAATTTAATTAACTAATACAGAACGCAACGTATTTTAAGTATAGTACTAATTTGAGTATAGCATAAATTAATAATATTTACTAACCTCCATTTCGTTCGCCTGTTTTGAAACCACGTCTTCACTTGAGCATCGGTCATTTTCAAAGTTTTTGCCAATGCTGCTCTTTCCGCCGACGCTAAATATTTTTGTTTATGAAATCGTTTCTCTAATTCGGCTATTTGAAGTCTTGTGAACGACGTTCTCGGTTTCTTTCGTTTGGGAGGTGTCCTGTTTTGGTACGGATGTCCAATTCTTCTCGTCATAGGAAACACTGCAATCAAAATTATATATAAATCGAATAGCTTTATTTAGGATGAATTATAAAAAGGTCGAACTGAAAAAGAAGTGTAAATTTGAGAAAGAAATCAGAGGTAACATAAATTCTTATAAACGGTCGTTCGTCGTCCAATTCGAATACGCAATTTGGAGTGTGTTTACGGTCACTTCCGGTAGTATTTTATTAGTTTCCTAAGCCGACCTTTCACCCTCGTCCCGCACCACCGCTGAATAGTTAATGGGAAATTCGTTTTCATCCGTCCCCGCCATCAATCAGGCGGACGGTCGCAGTCCACCGATCCCATCAAAATACCAGGAGTTGTTTTTCATTCGAAAAAAAAGCAAAACCAAAATATAACCAACAACCGACTCTATTACAGGGTGAGTTTCCATTGGACGGTTCCGTTAACGATCTTTTCACGTGACGAGGCATAAACGAAATGGTCATTTTTATTATGGTATCCAAAATGGCGGAAGATAATTGCGCTACCTCTGGAAATTGTCCTACCGAAACTAACGAGTTCGGCGAGTTGTCGCTAACCGACTACTACTTTTCCTTTGTCATTAGCGCGCAGCTTTGTGAAGCGTCGTATTCTTTTTACCGCGGCAGTTATAATAACATTACTTATAGAACGAAGAGGATGTCCGTTAAAAATATCATCTCCTTATAAAGAAAACGATATTTACGAAGAAGATACGTAAGGAAATAAATATTTTATTTCCGATAGTCGCGAAATGTTTAAGATTATTTTAACCGTAAAGGGTGGAATGCTAAAAGCATTCATAGTTTTATTAATTTGAAGGGATTCCTGTAATTGAATTCTTTAAATATACAGATAAAATAAAAATGATAAAAAAAAACTACAAACAATTTTGTTACCTCGAAAATTATCTTGTAATTTGCGTTGTTTCAATCAAAATTTAGATTTAGCCCGTTACTCATTCTTGCTGTTCACCACCAATTTACAAAATTAATGGTCTATGAAGCAACAACAACCGCACCACAAACAATTACGAGCCATATCATTTGAATTCTATCTGCCGCAACAATCTAAACCTTTACGCAATAAATCGCGAGTGTGTAATTGTTAATTTCCACCATGGTAATCTTGTTTAAAAAAAGTAGCGTTCGAAACAAAGAACACCATATAGCAATCAACTTAATTGAACACGAAATATTCAAATAATTGCAAATTACTCGTGAATACCGCAATTTTTTTTTGTTGAGTTATAACTCGCCATAAAATTAATTATTTTTTTTATGGCACTTATATGTTGTTTTTTTAATTTCATCAAATTATAGAACTTTCAAGATATCATTTCAAATTTCTTATATTTTTTATTTTATTTGAAATAATGAACAATTCATGAAAGAGTTTACCATTAACAATGAATATTATGTTTAAATTAACCAACTCTATATTTCTTACCAAATACAAGTCAAATCAGTCTGACAAAAAAAAGAATCTACATACATTCTATGACTAACTTTTCCAAGAAGGTGTTGAGCTCTAAGGAGTCTGCCATGAAGGAATTTATAGATTTAGTGATCACCTAAAGCTTGATAAATCACAATATTCCAACCAAACCTAACTTTATTTTCTTTCCCAAGTGATACTTCATCGAGAGGAAATCAGCTCCTCACTCTATGATTACCTTTGCCAAGAAGGTGTTGAGCTCTAAGGAGTCTGCCATGAAGGAGTTTATAGATATATAGAGCACCTAGAGGTAAACCACAATATTCCAGAATATATTTATTCTGTGTTGTTGGGTAGAGAATGCTCTAGATGGATAGAGAATTCTTAAAAAGGCGGATGAGGGAAAAGTCCTCAGTGAGGTTTCTTGGCTCCTCACTGAGGATACTTTCTCAAGTAGTACTCGAACCGAGCTATACGTGGAGGAAGTAGAATGGATTAGACGAAGCCATATATACCACACTTACGTTTTTACAACATAGCATTCTTTAATCTCGAAGCAGAACTAATCTCTTCTCTAACTAATCTCTTTTAATACTTATAGGTACTAAAGACGATACCAATATTATTAAGGACTATCTCTGGGGTAATATTGAAAGTAGTTAAATTCAATATTGAAAAATAATGTAGTAGTTAGGAAATATGTTTAGGGAGGGCATGGACCATGATAAAGATGTTAGGGAGTCTATTGTGTTGATGTTGACACAGGATTGGAACATTGTTGGTAAATGTTTGGAAAAATATACAAAGCTGCCAGACAACACAATGAAAGATGATATTGGGATGATAATGAGAGAGGTAAGATATGATCTTAAGAGATCAGGGACGATAATCAGGGAGGTCAATAATGATATTGAATGATTTCAGATCAAATGCTGATTGGTGTGATGTATATCATATGTTGAAAGATGTCGGGGATGATATTGAGGAAACGAAGGATGGAGTGAGAAATGTCTGGGACAAAATTGAAAACAGATTAAGGAATGTGTAGAATGATACAGATGGGTGTATTTCTTTTTGTACATTCTGCATACCTAAATTAATACCGGAAGACATAAAAATGATTGATTCTTCTGAGTAAAAAATTCCTTTTGCTTTCCTTTTCTGGAAAACTTAGAAATAAATGAAAGATAAGTACGATTGCAACATAAGTACCATAACTATAATTAGTCCACGAAAATTTTTCAACAAGACTTTTTCTAGTGGAAGTGTGCAAAGTTACTCATGTTAATCTGTACCTGTCAAAATGTTTTATAATAGCACATATAGACGGAATGAAATGTTGAATGCATTACAGTTAAAATTACGCCATGACAAGTTATAAATGAGCAGAATATTGATCGTGCTGATACAATACATCAATATTAAATTGTTGTGTTACTGCGGTTAAAATTTGTAATTAGAGATAGGTTTTCGAAGTTGTAGGTTTCTTTCTGTTTTTGTTCCGGATCTATCTCCAGCTAGCTTGATTATCGTTAATTTTTCTCTCTGGAGCCTGTTGCGAGCTTTCTATAACATTTCAAATCTGGTTAATAACCTGGTACATAACCTGGTTTATGCCACGCGTTAGATACAGTATATTTTGAATCAGTCAATCGATCAAGAACCATACCGTTTTTAAATCTTGAGATATGCAGAGGTATGACTCATCTATAAAAAACGAATTGGTCATATGAAATTTAACGAAATATATAAATACTCATACTTAATAATACTTCCTAATACAATAATAAGTACTATATATATAATAATAGTATATCGCGTGTTGGTCGAAACGAATATAGCGATAGACAACGTGAAAGGGGGTTTGGAAATTGAACAATTGCTGTCGCCCTCGAGCGGGGTGGGTGTAATGGCCGTGCGAGCTAATGACATCGTCCCCGTTAGAGGGCACTCTGCTCGGTTTACGGCTCGGCAATTATCGAGCAATTGTTTTAGCCCAAGTAAATAAATGATGGTCGCGGGGTTAATGCGTTTTCAATATATCGGCCGACTATCGACGGTATTACAGGTATCTCGTCTCGTATTGTTTCGATTTTGTTTTTTTCCCAATACTCTCTGGCTGAAGAGGTAAATTATTCATTTTGATAGCGAAAACGAGAATGAGTTATTTGCGAATCGGAATTTTGCGGTGCGCTTCGTTCCGATCGGCGTAGTATGTTCCATTAAAATGTTCCAGATAAACTTGTATATGTGTATACGATCGTAACTTATTGACTACATACGGTAGCTCTGCGTCGTTGGACAAGAACGTGTTGCTCAGCAGGTAGGAACCGTAGACATACAAGTAACCGAGATAGTGTCAACAAGGTTATACATCCATGGTATAAGAAATTACTTAAGTACATCAGTACAATTTTTCAAAAACAATTTAATTTGTAATTTTTTAAGATTTCTTGTTTAAAAAATCAGCTAGCAAATCACTCCGTTCCTAATTCGGGTTTATTAACGTAATTGCTGAGGCGGGAGCGATGTTGGAAAATGTGTCAGAATGGAAGCGAATAATAACAAAAAAAAAAAGACAGAAAGATGAAGAAGGGAACGGAAACTCGACATATCCAGGAGCTATTGCCGTTGGGGCGCCGCCTGGCAAAATAATCGTTTCCGAATTATGAATAATGAAGAACATCACCAGGCAGCTGGCGCGTAAAAAAGCTCGACTTTTTCCCCGGGGGAACGCAAAAACGGCCCATTTACATCGCGGTCCTTAAACGAGGGGCATAACTCGGCTGAATTTTAATACACTTCGGTGAATTACCTCGCCCCGGTCGACGACGAACGGGCGAACGAGAGGAAAGATCTCGAGAAGCTCTCGCCACGAAGCTCGACGCAGCTTTCAGTCGCCGCCATTTTGTCCCTGGAGGGGGCTCAGTTTTAAAAGTTCTCGCCGGCCCTCGCTTCCTGCTTGGATTTAAACTGCCTCACTATTATACGTAATGCGTATCGATCTGCTCACCCGCTTTGAGTCTCTCGAGGTTTTCCAGCTTTTACCTTCATACCTTTTTTAACATACTTCAATATATAAAGAGATTTCCGCCGATTGTTTTGTTTTAATAAGAAATTAAAATCGTTTCTCTTGTACACTAATATTTTATATTTTATAGGTAACTGCTAATAGAAAATCTGATAAAATGTACAGAGAAACTTTACTTAAAGTTGTCACAAAATAATTCATTTGCTAAAACAGATTACCAAAAAATTTCCCTTATGCATCTTAAATTTCATCTCCCAGAGTTTTCAAATTGGGTTTCACTGCATATGATTAATTACGATTTGATTTGATTTGCGCGGTAGGTGGATCGATTTTGAAGTTGTTTTGTCATTGTGTTCAGCTCATTCTTGAAAAGGATCACCAACTTCACTCCAGCCCTTCATAACTATATTTAGCAGGCACTATGCTCAAACCAACGTCAAACCAAATCAATGATTGTGCTTTTTACCAACACTCGGAGTACTTGAGAACTTAAGTTACGCCATAGAAAGATGTAGGTTCAAGATAGGTTCGTAAATTCAATTACAA